GGGCATGAGAGAAGAATCGCGAGAAGGTTCTGTTATGTATCGTATGTTCTGGAATGAAGTGTGAACCGGTTCAATGGATCAGCCTATATATATAGGACAGAACAGACCAGCGGTCCAGACCGGTTCAAACCGGTCCAGCCCGGATCAAAGCCAGGCAGCTTGCGAACCGACGAGTCTCTCAAAAGATTGGGTCGGGTAGTGGGTTGCCGGGTCCGGGCTTCAATTTGGGCGGGTTGGTTGTGTGCATTCTAGGCCTCAATTATCACGGGCCAAAATATATAACAGTTTGTATATTTTAAAATATAAAAATAATAATTACAATCGCATTTTACCGTGAGACGAGACAATAAAATATTACACACTTCTTAGACTCCCGAAAAAATTCTATGCTTATTCTCTGCACTCTCAATCGTTGTCATTTGTCTCAACCACTCCAAGTGAAGGAAACATAGTAAAAACGAATTTCCAATTCATCCCGTCACCGAGGCGAAGCGCAAAAAAGTATGTGTATTGTCTTTTTTCTATATATATATACATATATTTTTTACATTAGTATCTCATATCCTATTTTTTTACATTAGTATCTCAAACAACAGTAGTAGTAATAATAATAATAATAATAATAATAATAATACTACTACTATTATGTAGTTCTTTTAGTAGTTTATAATTTTACAATATTCTCAAAATATGACAACTCAATTAATAAAAGTATCTTACAATAAAAAGACTGTTATTTCAAAAATTTAAAAAACGAGCCTCATCTCTCATAAAATTTTGGTTCTGCCACTGTATATATATAAATATATCTCTAATAGTTATGTTGTTACAGATGACAACTCCATTTACGTCCAACAATCCTGACAAAACGAGTAGGATAGTGCCGAAGAGGGCAACAACCAGGAGATGAAGGACGATGACGACTATTGTATACCTTAGATATAAATATATATACTTCTATCGTCAGTGTATATGTCAGGTAAGATACTTATATACATTATACTTATGTTGTGCATAATTCGCTAGTTATGTACCTATAATATAATTTTAAGAATTAAACGACATCATATTCAAATTACTTGTGTTATCAACAACTTTAAGTTTGTTTTGGAATTTGATTTTGAATTGATTTAATTTAAATAGTATTTTAATATGATATTTTATTAAAAAAATAATACTATATTTTTATGATAACTGTGCCGACTGAATTTATTTAAAATGTTATAATATATTTTCTATTCAAAATATTATATTTAGTATAACATATATTTAATTATATCACATCAAATATATATTTTTTATTTATTTATTTTTAAATTCAAACAACCCAAAACAAGGGTTTTTTTTTTTTTTTTTACAAAATATTAAACTCAAATTACTATTTAAATAAAACCAAAACCATACTTAAAAAACACAATGCAAGAGTTTTGTTTCATTAGTTAATGTAACATTATTTATCAATATCTCTCTGCGTAATAAATAACAAATTAGACATTTTTTTTTTTATTTAACGTATTCTTGATAATTTAAAATTTTATTTAGAACACCTCTGTATACAATACTTTAAACATCATAGCCCTGACACACCGCAATACACTGTGTGTTGTTATAATTATGAATCAACAAAGCATGTATTTTTATTTTTTTTTTAATAACGTGGGAACCCGCAGCCGCTACCCGAAAGTGCACACTGGGTAAATCCTTGGCCGAACCTAATACCTGCAAACCAGGCCCGACGAGAAAGACACATTATAAGATTCTTGGGTTTGAATCCATGACCTCACAGTCGCATGTTTTTATTATACACAATATGTGTTGTGTATAATAAGATTTTGTGTTGTTTGCCGGGAGGGAACTACACTAGGGCGGGCAATTGACCCCAAGCTCAATTTTTTATAATTTTTTTAGTATTAAAAATATTAATTTTTATGTCTTTATATACAATTTGCTCTGCAAAAAAAAAAAAAAAAATTAGATTCATATATAATTTTGTCATTTTTTTTATTTAAATTTATTAATTAAATATTAAATAAATTATAACATTTTGCCCTCGAAAATTTAGATGTTAGTTTCGTTGTTTGTATATATTAGGTGTGCAATTTGAAAATATTATAAATAATATATAAAAATATATAGATAATTTGATTGAGAATTTATCAGCACCATATTGATTGTCCTAATCAGCGCATAAAAATATTATAAATAACATATAAAAATATAACAAGCATATCATGCTGTATAGAATAAGAGTTTGTTTTTCCATTCAAAATTTTAACGACACAATTTCTAATATATATAATATACTATATTTTATTTTTTTAAAATAATTAATATTTAATGCAAAATATTATTTTTTTTTTTTTTATGCTATCACGTAATTCTCTATACATTAACATAAGAAATAATTTAACTAAAACACTAAGCAAACAAAAAATTTGATATGTACTATTAATTTTATTTTATTTTATATGTTTAAAAACTTATATCTAATATGTCATTTAATATATACTCTATCAGTTCCGATTCAATTGATACTTTTTATTTGGAACACAGTATTTAAGATAATGATGTTTAATTAATAAATAATAATAAATTATAATATTATTTTATTATTTTTATATAATTAATAATATTGATAGTTTTAAAACAAATTTAATATATATGATTAAAATAATAAAAATATATATTTAAATATTTTAAAAATTATAACGAAATAAAAAATATACGCAATATATATCATTTTATAGATAATAAAAATTTTTATAATACAAATAAATAAAATAATACATTTATTTATTTATAATTAATACAAATTAATTTTATAAAAAAAGTAAAATTTTAAATATTGATAAAAATATTTATTCTTTTAGAATGAAATAGAAATAAATTTTTTTAAAGTGGATTCTATATAATATACGATATTATATATTATATAATTAATTAAATTTATTCTAATTAAATAATTTTTATTAAAAAAAATATATCAAAGTATTATAGAATAAATGAAAATAAAAAAAATTAAAAAAATGTAAATTAAGTTGGGAGTACAATACTAATTATTGCAATGTACAGCTAAGGTCAATCATTGCAACTTATTTATAATATCTCTCTATTATTATAGGCTAGTTTTTCGCATTGATCAACTAAAGTCGTCGTCTAGATCTAACTCTATTATTATACTCCATGTTTTTTTAGCTGAATTTTTTCAAATTTTATTATTTAGACTATATGTTTTTTGAAATTTTCATAAAATATCTCATTAAACATTATTTTTATACCAAATTCTACTATAAAAAAATAATCTATTTGTAACGAAATTCCGTCCCTAAAGTTCACGTAGCTAACGTAATTTCATTCCTAATTCCGTCTCTATGTCATTAGTAACGGAAAAAGTAAATTTAGAGACAGAAAAATTTTGTTTAAAAAATGATTTTTTTTATAGTGTTCAAATAATTTTTTTTTTCAAATTCATAAAAAAGATAGTCTCTCTCTTTTTTTTTAAAAAAAAAGAAAATTACAATTTTATTCTTACTTTTTTGTTGAAATGATTTTATAAATTTTATTTAAATAGATAAAAAGAATGACTCCTATAAAATAAGAAAAAGTGCAAACAAATTCAAAGATGGGTTTGTTTGTGCATTTGAAATTTAAGTTTTATACTAAAATTTTGAGTTAATATCATTGTTGACGTAACATAAATAAATATTAATATATTAATTTGAATGTAAATTGAATTTTAATATAATATAAAAATAAAAAATAAATATTTTATTTTATTTTATTTGGAAAATAAAATTACTAATAATGTTTTAGTTGAACAAATAGAAGTAGAAGAAAATACAAAAAAATAAAAATAAAATAAGAATTTAGGTAAAGTATAATTAGTAAGCAATTAAGAAATGTATTAGTAAAAATAATTATTATTTAGTAAAAATAATTATAAATTAAGATTAAAATAACTAAATAGTTTAATTAATATTAAAAAAATTTAAATTTTAAATTTTAAAATATGATTAAAGTGTATAATTAACTTTTTTTAAAAAAAAAAAACAAATTATATGGAACGGATAAAAATAGAAAATATGGATAAATTATGCGGCACGGACAGAGAGTACGTAACTTGTTCAAATTTATATTATGGGGAACGTGATTCCTAACTTGTTCAAATTTATATTATGGGGAACGTGATTCCCCAAGAATCAGATGCTTGTCAATACATATTTTTAATTGATCATTATTACGATAGATATCCACTATTAAGTCTATCACCAAAAAAATAAAATTAAATTAAATATTCATTAGATATCCACTATCAAGTCTATCACCAAAAAAATTAAATTAAATTAAATATTCATTAGATATCCACTATTAAGTCTATCAAAAAAAATAAAATTAAATTAAATATTCATTTGTTTCAATTCAATATATATTTTTTTATTATTTTTATTTTCAATAAAAAATTTCATTTTTAACTTTTATAGTATATTGAAAATTACTATTATTTTTAAGAGCATAGATGTTGATTGGCGGGATTATATATATTTCAGTATATTTATAATACAAGATATATTATATTATATTTCAGTATAATTAATTTTTAATATCAATTATTGATTTTTTTGTGTGAATTGACGAATTTGCCTTTTACTTTATGTATAGAAAAGAAAAGAATAAATAAAATAATAGTAAAAAAGTAAATTCTGTGTATAAAAATTAAAATAAAACGATAATGTTTTGAGGTTCCAAATAAAAAAAGTAGCAGCACATTAGTTTGTGGACAGAGAGAGTAATACATCATATGCTGACGACATATATATAAATCATTCACATACCATATGTTGACTAATCAAATAAATATGATGCTGATTTGACCGAATTATTACAATATATACCGCCTACATTATAATTATTATATTAATATTTATTTATATTCACTCAAATAATTATTTAAATTTAAAATTTTACTATTCCAAAATGCTTAACACGCCGTCTCTCCATATATATATATCCACACAAAATGTGTCGGTATTGCAACCATGGCGATACAAAGTCCTACACTTACTCTCCTAAACGAAGAACGTCGTCGTTTTGACGAAACAAAGGCCGGCGTCAAAGGCCTCGTCGACGGAGGCATCAAAAAGGTGCCTCCGATGTTCGTACACCCACCGGAAAGTCTATGTGGCATCCATGCCCCGCCGGGCCTCGATATCCCGACAATTGATCTCGCCGGAGTCGGCGACAACGATCCTGTCCGACGACAAAAAATCGTCGAAAAAATAAGTGACGCTTCCTCGACGTGGGGCATTTTCCGGGTCATCAACCACGGCATCCCGATGAGCACGGTCGACGAAATGTTGGACGGGACGAGGAAATTCCACGAGCTCGGGGTCGAGACAAAGGCGCGTTATTACACGCGCGATAGCGTCGAAGGCCTCGCCTATTGCAGCAATTTCCACCTTTACCGGCTTCCGGAAGCCGAGTGGCGTGACACGTTCTCGTGCGACGTCGCGCCCGACCCGCCGCGCGCGGCGGACTTGCCGGCGGCGTGCGGGGAAATTATGATGAGTTATAAGGATTGGGTGATGGGTTTGGGGCGACGATTGTTTTGTCTTATTGCAGAGGGACTTGGAGTCGAGGCGAACCGGCTTTTGGACATGGCGTGCGACGAGGGGCTCGCCGTTATCGGACATTATTATCCGGCGTGCCCCGAGCCCGACCGGACATTGGGAATTCGGAAGCACTCGGACAACAATTTCTTGACGATTCTTGCACAAGATGGTTTGGGAGGTCTTCAAGTTGAGTACGAGGAACGTTGGGTCGATGTCGAGCCAGTACGAGGATCGTTGGTCGTAAATATCGGCAACATCCTCCAGGCAAGAATTACAGCTATTTTTACTGTTCATCAATTTTATTTATTTATTTATTTATTATTTTTTAAAAATCAAATCAAATATTTCTTTAGTTTGTAACTTTATGCAACATTGATCAAGATGGATTATTACGAAAATTTTATTAAAAAGTTAATAAAAAGTAATCGAATAACTAAAAAAAATTTAGTGACAAATTGATTATTATTTATTAAAGTAGAATAATAAAAATATGAATTGATAAAATTGTTTATTATAAATAAATTATAGTACATAAAATTGGTGCGATAAAAAAACATAGCATAATTATTTGAAACTGATGAAGTATTTATTTATATTTATATTATATTATTTTTTTTAGAAAATATTAAATGAACACTTATTTAAATTACATAATACAATTATTTCAATTTAAAATTTTTACTATTAAAAACTCATATCAAAACTCGACTCCCAAACAAACCCACACTTAAGTGTTGTTTATTTTACATTCAAAAATAATTTTTAACATTATTTACTAATAATTCTCTCTCCGTTCAAGTCGAAGATATTCATTTTTTTTTTTAATAAAGTATCTTTCAAGTAAGTATAAAAAAATTTCAATATTTTGTTATTATTTTTTCAATATCATTAATATCAAAATTAAAAAAAGACTTTATACTTAAAAATCTATAAGATACTAATATACATAAATTTGCATCTATAAGTAAAATAAATACTTTTGATCCGAACGAAAAAAAAAAAATTTACTTTTAAAAAATGTAATATCAAAATATTAATTTTACCATCATAAATATCATATAAAAAGCTAGGTTTTCATAATATTATTATTATTATTATTTTACATTGTGTCTATTTTTGTTTTCTGGTTTTTGTTTTTATTATACATTTTCCTTTCAATAAAGTCACAACCTACCCTCAATAGTGTTTTGATTTGACTTTTTTTTTTTTTTTTTCTTTTAATATGAGGTATAAGAAAGCGTATTGAAACACAATATAATTTTTATTATTAGTTATTGTAAATTGTAAAAATTTTGTGAAAACTAGCTGTTTTTTTTTTACCAAAAATATAAGTTTCTACTATTTGTACTTTGTATTTAAAAAAAAATTTATATATTTTTTTTTCTCGCAAAATATCACATCATACATTATTTTAATACCAAACCTAAACCATAACAGCACATACAACACATACTACATGCTAGCAATTCATACAACAAGGGTTATTTAGGGTGTGTTTGTTTGGGGGTTTGGATCTTGAGTTGAGATTTGAATAGTAAAATTTTGAATTTGAATAGTTTGTATGATGTGATATAAATAAGTGTTGATGTGATGTTTTGAATGTAAAATTAATTTTTAGTATAATATGAAAAATGAAAAATAAATGTTTGATTTGATGTTTTTAGGGGAAAAAAATTGGATGAATAGTGAAAATCTAATCCAATCCTCCAAACAAAGACACAATGTATTTTTACGTGCTAAATGAACATAGTACACTAATCAGTATAGTGTTGATTATCTCAATCAACATGCCAACTATTTCCCATAAAATAAATAATAGATAATTTTTTTCATATGATTAATAAAACAAAACAAAGAAAAGTCTTGAAAGATATAGTTTTATAAAGAAGAAAACTTTGATGAATAATGTTAAAACAAAGTTAAAAATATAAATTAACATAGTTCTATCGTTCATTTAGACGCTCATATAAATTCTGTTTTAGTTAGTATGATGATGTGGGAACGATGAAAATAGTGTTTGAATGTTCGTCAGATCATATCGAATGACAAAATGAAGAGTGTGGAGCATAGAGTAGTATCGAAAAATGTTGGTCCGAGAGTATCAGTGGCGTGCTTCTTCTCGACAGGGAGAAAACACTCGACGAGGGTTTATGGGCCGATCGAGGAGCTTGTGTCTGAAGAGAATCCGGCTAGGTATCCCGGAATCACTATCCACGACTACTTCAAATGCTACTTGGAAAATGGCTCAAATGGCATTGCTACTTTACGACATCTTAGATTATGAGACGGTGTTCTTTCTTAGATTGATTTTTTAAGTTGTATTCACTACGCCGTTTTTATGATTTTTTTATAAATATATACTTCCTCCGTTCCATGTAATATGGGTGTATTACTGTAGACACATGAATTTAGGTAAAGTATAATTAGTAAGTAATTAAGAAGTGTATTAGTAAAAATAATTATAGATTAAGATTAAGATAAGTAAATAGTTTAATTAAAATTAAGAAAATTATAAATTTTAAAATTTAAAATGTGATTAAAATGCATAATTATATTTTCAAAAATAGAAAAGACAAGTTATGTGGGACAGACGACAATAAAAAATAGGGACAAATTATGTGGGACGAATGAAGTATTATTTTTTAAATAAAATATTACATTCAATCACTATTTAAATACAAAGTGTTTGACGGCCGATTACAACAGATTTTTTCAGAGAGCATTGTTCAAGTCTTCAGAAAACACTGCTCAATAGTGTAGACAACACCGATTAAGAGTTCAAATAGTACGTACAATATTTAATTTTTATTTTTATTTTTTTATTTTTTTATTTTTTATTTTTTATCTTGATTGACACTTTATGAATTCTTGAATTGATGCTATTTGAGGAATTAACAACACGGTATAGAGTATAATATATACTATATAAAGTAGCAGACATATTTCTATAAAACAACCACATCATATATATACTTCTATAGACCACAATATTTACTTTATAGAGCATCGGACATACTTCTATATACCACTCTACATTTTTTTTTATAAAATTAATTTATGTTAATTATAAAAAAATAAACATAATTTTTTATTTATTTGTATTATACGAAATTCTATTCTTTACAAAATGATATTCATATTCTATATTTTTTATTGCAATACATTTTTTCAATACATACGTATTTTAATTTTTAAATAATATACACTACAAAAAAATAATATATTTGTAACGGAATTCCGTCCCTAAAGTTCACGTAGCTAACGTAATTACATTCCTAATTCCGTCTCTAATGTCATTAGTAACGGAAAAAGTAGATTTAAAGACAAAAAAAATTGTTACAAAATTGATTTTTTCTTATAGTGATATATTAAATTTAATTTAAAACTACTAATATTACTACCACATAAAAAATAAAAAAATAATATAATAATTTATTATTATTAATTAATTAAGCATCATTACTTTAAATAAATGTTCTCATAAAAGATATCAATTATATACTGAAGGAAAGAATATTTATTTTCTAATTAACTATTAATAATCCTTATATAATGATAAAAAACTTTTATATTTTACTTAAAACTACAGTAATACTCCTCCATCCCATAATTAAGTATCTATTTATTTTTTGCAAGGAGTTTTAGAAATATTAGTATTATATTGAGATTTAGTAGGAATAAAGTAAAAATAACTAAAATAACCTTATTAATATTGTGTCACATAAATATAATGATATTTGTGTAATATATTATAAGTTGTAAGGATATTTGTAAAGTTAGTAAATAATATAATTACTAAAAAAAAATACTTTATTATGAAATAGACTAAAATAAAAAAATAGATAATTTATTATGAGACGAAGCGATTACAATTTATTGTCTTTGGGACATAGAGAAGATAAAATTCACTTTGGACTTGAATGGATAAGTTAGTAGCTGTTTGTATATTTGGACTTATCTTATCATTATCATTATCTTTGTTTTTATTTATTTATATTTTTATAATTTTCAAATAATTAATTGAAAATGATGTCGTTTTTCTTGCTCCCCTTTTCTATTCTTTTAATTCAAGTTTGAACGATATAATTTAATAAATATATATTTTTTAAAAATATAAAATTTAATATATATACATTTTGTATTTAATAATTATTAAAAAATATTACTCTTTACGTCCCGGATATTATACACAATTACTGCAGACCCGAGAATTTAGAAGAGGTATAATTAGTAAATAATTAAGAATGTATTAGTAAAAATAATTATAGATTAAAAATCAAAATAAATAATTACTATAATTAAAATTTAGAAAATTATAAAGTATAATATTTAAAATATAATTAAAGTGTATAATTTTTTTCATAAAAGAAAATTAACATAATATGTGAGACGGACGAAAAATAAAAATTGTGACATAACGTGTAGGATGGATGTAGGATGGAGAGAGTACTATATTTATAAAAATTATGAAATGAAACAAAAAGTTAAAGTTCTAATAAATCAATATATGAATACATAATTATTTTATGTATAATATCATATCTTTCAATTTGTCGAAATTTAATGCAAAAATTAAAAAGTCTTTAAATAAAATTGTAACGGGATATTGGATTAATATAAGAAATATGATATTATTGGCTAGCTAAAATAAGTCGAAAAATCATTTCGAACTTATCTCATTGTATATAAATTCCATAGGCTAACAATATATATATATATATATTTACACACAAATATCTCATTCTTTCTCAGCTTTCCTTTATTCTTTCAACCAAAATATATACAGGTTTCATTTACTTTTTACGTTATTATACTTAAAATTAAAAATATCTTTATATTTGTATAATTTTTTATACAAATGTTCTTCCATTAGTATTATAAGACACTAATGAAGTTATTTTTGTAATGTTTTCTTAATTTATACTACGTTTTGATATAATAATTAATATTCAAAGATTAATAATCAAAAAGTAAATAGGACCCTTAGAGTCAGATGAATGTAGTATTATTTTCCACTGTTTTATTGCATTTCCCGCCATTCTTTATTTAACTTATAAATTTATCTATGCATAGCATATTTTTTTTTGTTTTTTGGCATTTCATAACTGATTTTTTTATTTAAATAATATTTTATAAATATATATATGTAAGAACATATAATACAAATAATAAAAATTTAAAAGGAAACTATAAAGAAAGGCACCTTTATATTTTGCATGAGGAAAAAGTACAGAGAGGTTAATAAAAACATAATATAAATAGAATTAATTTTGAAGTCTAAATTTTTATTTTTCCTGTATTCAAATCAAATTGTCAGAACATACTAATTTGATTAATTAACTAAATCATGCCTTGCAAGATTTGCAATCCCAATGGTTACTTTAGCATTATCTAATTATTGGGTAGGAAAATAAATAAAATTCAATATTACTTAATAATGTACATAACTATATTTTTATATTATTCAAAAATGTATTTTATAGATCAGTATGTATTGTGACTAAAATAAATTTGTTACATGGTTATGTCAAGAATCAGTATGTAAGCTTTTGCAAGAATAGGGAAGGAAATGAAGCATGATGAAGAACCTTTTTCATATTCTTGATTGATCTGTTCATTTATAATGTATACATATTTCTATTTTGATCCGTCTAATTTAAAAATTTATATATTTTTTTAGTAACTATGAACTCTGTCATTAACTATAAATATATTTTTTTACACATATTTATCATCTCACCTCCAATTAATTATACAGTTATATCTAAAAGTAAAAATAATTTGGTCTTTATACTATTATATCTTCTAACTACTATTACAATATTAATATTATTTTCGTCCAGCTCTAAGGGTCTTATTTATTTTTTGCGTGTTGATATTTAAATATTAATTATTATATCAAAACGTAGTACAAATTAAGAAAAAATTTCAAAAATACTTCAATTAATGTCTTGTAATACTAATAGAAGGACATTTGTACAAAAAAATTTATACAAATATAAATATATTTTTAATGTTAAATACAATGACGCAAAACGTAAATGTGATCCTTAAAGCCGGATGAATGAAGTATTTCTTTATTTGTGTGTAAAAATAAATGTAAATTTTAAAGGTGGACGGAGGGATTATAACTTTTATATCTTTCGGCATTATCTTTCGGTATATTTTCCGATCATTTTTTTCATAGTATCAAAGCCAATCATCCGCTACGGTGATTGTTCTCTCTTGATAATCTATAGACTATAGTAGACTATTGATTCAACCAATTCCTCATCTATGTCATCGAGCCCCAAGTCATTTTGTTTAGTTAACAAATTTTCACTTATTTGATACTATTCATTTTTCAAAAAATATCACATCAAATACAATTTTTTCTTTCACAAAATATCAAATCATATACTAACTTTATCATTTTTCCAAAACTTCCAAAATTCCAAAAGTCTCTATCTAAACGGAGCCTGCTTTTACCAAATTTAGTGAGACATAACTATCTACTGTGGAGTAGGGGATGATGCGAGTTCTCAATGCAAAAGATTTAAAATATTATACTCCGTCCATTATCAAACAAAAAAAAACTAATAATAGCTACTTAGGTCATCTCCAATTATGGGTGTCAATTCGTGTTTTTTGGTCGTGTTCGTGTCGGGTTGAGCCATGAGGATAACAAAAAAATTGTCAACCCGAACCCGAAATTTGACCTGAAACCCTAGGCCCAAACACGACAAAAATTCTTTCAGGTCGGATTCAGGTTGACCTGAATTAGTTTCAGGTCACCCGAAACCCGAACAAACCCGATACGAACCCGACACGAAACAGACCCGAAAATTTAAAAAAAATTAAATTGACATAAAAAATATCATTTTAATTTTAATTTTTATATTATTTTATATTTAAAATAATATAAATATTATAAATTAAAATAATAATAATAAAAATTTCAGGTCATTCCAAAACACAAAACCCAAAACCCAAAACCTAACCTGATTTTGATATTTCAGGTTATCAGGTCAACCCGAAACACGACCCGAACACGACACGAATTTTTTTCGTTTCAAGTTCGGGTCGACCTGATTGTTTTCAAACCCGAAATACCCAAACTCGAACCTGAAAAATTTCAAGTCCAACAGGTTCGATTTTTCGGGTCGGGTTTACTTTTGACACCCCTATCTCCAATGGAGCGTTCTTTTTGCCACAATTGCATTACAATTGGAGTTTCTGCACATCAATGCATAGCTATTTTTTACACCAAAAATGGTGTTCACTGTAGCTACGCCATTTTATGACGTTATCTTGTTTTTTTCTTTTTCAAAAAAGAAAAATTACATATTAATTCTTTTATTTATTTTTAATTTTCTAATATTTTTTTTTAAAATAATATTAATTGTAGATATAAAAAGTGATTTAAAATAATTTATAAAATAGAATATTTGAAGAATATTTTTTTTGAAGTAAAAATAAAATTGTTGGTTGAAATAGAAACACTATAGCAACTCTGTTTTCTGAGTTAAAATTGTTTAAATAGAATGTGGAGGTTGAAGATGGCCTTAAAACGTTACAAATAATAGATATATTTTCTTATTTAATAAATATACACCCTACAATAATAATGAAATATTGTTCACTTTGGTCACTTCAGATAAAAGTACCAAAATACTTGTTTGAATACATATTCCTATTAAACATGGTCCTCTAAAAAATGGTATTTTAATCTAATTTATACACTTTATATTCTAAAGTACCTATAAAATACTATTATTTATTTATTTTTAATTAAACTTCACACATTAATTAATATAAAAACTTTTATTCTCCTATGATATTATTATTTACATTTTAATAAAAAATAATCAATTTTTTAATTATTATTTTTAACTTATCATATACATTTTTATTAATTTTTAATAAATTTTCATATATTATTATCAATTTATTTTTATATTAAATTATTATTATTTTTTAGTCTTTGTATTCAAATAAAATGACATAATTAGTCCGGATGAATCGAGTAATAATTAGGTCTTGTTCTTGGAGTTTTATTTTAATTTATTGTTATTCAATTTTTATAATATTCAATAAAAATATATATATTTTTTTCATTTTATCAAATATCATATCAAATAATATTTAAATAAAAAAATTAAATACTATATACTTCCTCCGTCGCAACTAATTTATTCTCTATAGCTTAGGCATGAAGTTTTAGGTAAGGTGTAATTAGTAAGTAATTAAGAATTGTATTAATAAAAATAATTATAGATTAAGATTAAGACTACTAAATAGTTTATTTTAAATAAAAAATTATAATTATAAATTTTAAAATGTGATTAAAGTGTATAATTATATTTCAAAAAAAAAAAAATTATGTGGAATAAACGAAAATAGAAGTAGTAGACAAATTAAGTGGGATCGGGAATTATATTCCAAAAGTACTAGTGAGATTATAGTACTAGTTTTATTCCTTCGATTGTTTTTTTTTTTTTTCGTCCAAAAAATTTAATCAAATATTTATTATTTATTTATTATATTATACTCCCTCCCTCCGCCTCTCATGGTCACATTTACTTTTTGTGTCATTGTACTCAACATTAAAAATATCTTTATATTTGTATAAGAGACTAATTGAAGTATTTTTGTAATTTTTTCTTAATTTATACTACATTTTAATATAATAATTAATATTTAATGATCAACACACAAAAGTAAATGAGACCCTCAAAATCGGACGGAAGTTATACTAAAATTTAATTTTATATTTAAAATATCATATTAATACATATTTATATCATATTAAAAAATTATATTAATTCAAAAATTTAAAAATTCAAAACAAAATTAAAATCACACAAATAAACACACCTTCATTTTTACATTTTTGAAACATTTTGGTTCTCGTCCACCATAATTATTCCACTTTCTTTACAAATTTATAAAGATGGTATAATTATGATACACAAATATAATATATTATATTTTAATAATAATTTTTTTAAAAATATTGTATAAAATATTTAATTTTTTTAATAAAGTATCACATAAAATATTTAATTTCTTCATTATTATAAACATTCTAGTAAAACTTCCCCTAATCTTTACCTAATTAAAACTGAATTTCTTCCATATAGTATTACGCAAGGCAGATGCACGATCTCATTTCTCATATTTAAATACTACATTGTATTATCCAGCCAGCTGTTACATACGCGTGTGTATATATATATATATATATACATACATAGGCATGGAGAAATTTCCTACCGAAATACCGACTTATCGTACTGCATAATGTAGAAAATACTGAAAATTTTGGTCAATATGGATATCGTACCGAAATTTTTGGTACAGTATCAGTATGAATTTTCGGAAAGTTCGATATTTCGGTATGATACAATACCGATATTATTTTTATTAAATAATTTAATTATTAATATAAATATTAATTATTAATTCTTTTCAAATCATAACAAAACATATGTAGACTATTGAAAATTTATCTATTTTTTCATAATATTTTTGTGCCGGAGAACGGTGATATTTATTATTATTTTTAATTATTTTGAAATTAAAAATTATATTTTATGTATAATTGATATATACCGGTATAATACCGAAATCAAAATTTTAGGTTTAAGCGGTATATACCGGTATCGTACAGAAATTGAAATAGTCGGTATGATACCGATATGTATTTTCGTCATACAAAAAAATTCGGTACAATATCTGTATCGATCGGTATTTTTGGTACGGTACAGTATATCATCCCTGTATATCATCCCTATATATATATCCATATTTATTTTGACTATAATCACCAATTAATTATTATCCAACTATGCTTTAATTTACTTCAATTAGCCATAGTCATCTTCTTCAACCTCACCCTAGATCGATTCAATTAATTCTCTTCTCCCCACAACAATGGCTACCACACTACAAAAAATCCCCACCAATCGAACGGCCGAACGACGTCGTTTCGATGAGTCGAAAGCCGGCGTCAAAGGCCTTGTCGACGGCGGCATCGCCAAGGTGCCCGCCATTTTCCGGCATCCACCGGAGACCCATTTTTCCGACAACCTCGGCACCAATTACGCAATCCCGACCGTCGATCTCCAAGGCGTGGATGACGACGACAGTGATCACCGGCAACGGATAGCGACACAAATTAGGGATGCCGCAGAGTCGTGGGGAATCTTTCGTGTCGTCAATCACGGCATCCCCCGGCGCATTCTTGACGACGTGATCCGAGGTGCGAGGGATTTCCACGAGCTAGAAATCGAGGCTAAGACTCGGTTCTACTCACGCGAGCATCGCGACGGGTTGGTTTATTGTAGCAATCCAAACTTGTTTACGCTACCCGTGGCCGAGTGGCGCGACACATTTTCGTGCTCGATGGCTCCTGTCGCGCCGGCCATTGAGGACTTGCCCGCCGTATGCGGGTGAGTCGATTCGATGTCGTTTACTTATATTTTCAAATTTATTTTTATACTGTTTACGATAAATTATTTTCTTTCGAAAATATTACATTTAAAACTTATTTTCATGTATTATATAAAAAGACTAGACGTTATTTATACAAGGTATTAGGTTATCTTAAACTCATTACTTTATTTTTGCTAAAGTAAAAATGCATTTGATCTACACTAATTTTACTTCAATTTTTTACTTTAAAAAATATATTTCATATATATTCCACTTTTATATTATTTTATCTAATTTTTCATATTTATAAATTACACCATAACTTTAACTTTTTTTACATTGTCATTAAAAAAACATATATAATTCTTATTTCATTTATAAAATTATATATCACTTTTTAAAAACAAATTATATATTATTATAAAAATAAAATAAAATTACACATCCGTTTAAAAAAAAATTATATATCACTTAAAAAAAAATTATATACTCCACTCAAGAGCTATGAGAGAAAATGAGGTTAGGTTGAAGCCCTATCACCTCTATTTTTAGCCAACCATTGCATTTAATGTAATGATTAATGAATATATATATATATATATTTAATATTATATTTTTTTAAAATAAAAATTAAAACTTCTAACAATATGTAAATAAATAGAGTTAAAAGTTATAATTAATAGACTAAATTGTACAAAATCCACCCGTGGTTTCATGAAATTGCACCAAATCCCTCGTACTTTTAAAACTGCGTTAAACTTCCTCGTGGTTTCATAAACTTTGCATCTAACCCCCTCAGCGGTCCTTATTTAATGGTATTTGACTTAAATGCTGCGAATAAATTTTAGAATCTCAATTTTTAAACCCCTAAAATTACAAATATATTTATTTATTTTTTATACTTACCCTCAAAAAATAGTAAATATACTAATAAATAGTTATTTTTCTCAGGTTTTAAGAGTTTATTTTTACTATTTTTTTAGACTAAATATATAAAAAATAAATATATTTGTAATATTAGGAGTTTAGAAATTGAGATTCTAAAATTTATTCGCAGTTTGAGCGCATATAGGTCAAATACCGTTAAATAAGGACCGTTGAGCGGGTTAGACGCAAAGTTTATGAAACCACGATCGAGTTTGACGCAGTTTTAGAAGTACGAGGGATTTGGTGCAATTTCATGAAACACATGTGAATTTTGTGGAATTTAACCAAATTAATATTTATTTATATGATATAATGACACATCAAACATTTATTTTATAATTATCTTTTCTATTATTATTTTAATATTGATCTAAAACTCAAAACATTTCTAATAAACAAACTTGACTACTCAAAATTAATTTTATTAATCCACTAAACCAAACATAAAATTATTTTAATTTTGTATTTGAATACTAATTTTAATGTAATATTTTATAAGAAAAAAAATATATATTAATAATAAAATTGTAATAATTATTCAGTACAAAATTGAAACTAAATTTTAAAAGAATAAAGCATGATCTTATTCATATATAGATTTCTAAGTAATCAAAATAAATATATATATATATATTTATTTTTTCTGAAACTAAACTTTAAAAGAATAAAGTATGATCTTATTCATATATCGATTTTTAAGTAATCAAATAAATATATATATATATTTATTTTTTCGGGTGATTTAATTTCTTAGGGGTATTTTGATCGAGTTTGGAGAGCGAGTGATGCAATTAGGGCGGTGTTTGTTCCGGCTAATGTCGGAAGGTTTAGGACTCGGATCGAATAGGTTGCTAGAAATTGGATGCGACGAGGGTTTAACGGTGATCGGGCATTACTACCCGGCGTGCCCGGAGCCGGAGGCGACTTTGGGAATTCGGAGGCATTCGGACAGCAATTTCTTGACAATTTTGGTCCAGGACAATCTGGGAGGGCTTCAAGTTTTGCATAAGGATAAATGGGTGAACGTTGAGCCCTTATCGGGATCTCTTGTGGTCAACGTTGGAAGTATTCTTCAGGCAAGTAGTACTTAAACTAAACTACTTTTATTATTATTATTATTATTATTATTAATTTTTACACGTTGACTTTTAAATGTAGGAAATTCTTGCACTTTAATTAGATAATTGACTTACACAATTTGTTCGATCTCAATGCTTTTAGAAGTAACTCAATTGTGTTTGGTTCGTGGTTTTGGTTTAGAAAGGAGTTAAATATTTATATAGTATATGAAGAAAATAGTTTATTCTTATAATAAATCGTTAAAATTTATATACTTTATGTGTAGTTGGGGTTGGAGTTTGAATAGTAAAAAAATTGAATTTATATAGTTGTCTGATATGATATAAATATATATTGATGTGATGTGACGTTTTGAATGTAAAATTAATTTTTAGTATAATATAAATAATAAAAAATATGTGTTTAATTATATATTTTTGGGAAGAAAAATGAATGAAGAGTACAATCGAGGCAAAATCCTCCAACCTAACACACTAATATTAGAGATATTGGGAAAAAGAAAAAAATCGAAGTGAAACTATATAGATTTGTTTAATTTGTTTAGTATTTATAATTTCGAGCTGTTTTTACTTTGAAGATGAATTTTTGTGAAAATATTATTGAAGTTGATATTTCATATTTTAATTGGTTGATGTTTGTGTATTCACTACAAAAAAATAATATATTTGTAACGGAATTTCGTCCATAAAGTGCACGTAGCTAACGTAATTTCATTCTTAATTCCGTCTCTAATATCATTAGTAACGGAAAAAATAAATTTAGAGATAAAAATATTTTGTTACAAAAATAATTTTTTTTATAGTGATTTTTATTAATTTTTAATATCATGTATTATATATTGTATATTGTTATTTTAATAATATTTTTTGAGAATTATGTATAAAGTGAAAAACTAGTATATTTTGTTTTAAATGAGAGTGGACTATAATGTATTGTTAGATAAAATGTATCAAATCAAATATCAATTTTTATTTTTTATATTATATTAAAAATTAATTTTATACTAAAAAATATCACATTCATACCTATTTATTATTCAAATTCAAAAATTAAGAAATCATGTTGCCCCACCATTTGTTTATATTATTCATTTTTATTAGTTAAAATTAAGGTATATTAGTATATTAGATATGATATGTGGTGTGTAAAATGCCTATTAACTAAAGTATTATCAAAAGCCCAATGAATAGATCATAAAATAAAAATTTAAACTATTAGAAATACGCATAAATAATTTATTTATCTATATACTGGAGTCAATAATATTTAATTACTAAATTTTGAAATGACTATGATTGATGTAACAGATGATAACAAATGACAAATTAAAGAGTGTGGAGCACAGGGTTCTAGCAAAAAGTACAGGGCCAAGAGTTTCAGTGGCGAGTTTTTTCTCGACCGGAAGGAATCCTTCGAGTAGGGTTTATAGTCCAATCGAAGAGCTTTTGTCGGAAGAGGATCCTCCTAGGTATCCCGCCTTAACTTTTATGGACTTCTACACATGTTTTAAAGCCAATGCCTGCGATGGCTCTTCTACTTTACGACATCTCAAGCTATAAATAAAGTTTATGTGCCGACGCCAATGAATCACGGCGCGGGGAATGCACCAAAGAAGAAATGAAAAATTAATGAGAATACAATTAATAATAAATATAAAACATAAATAAAGTGCTCATTTTTTTTTAGATTTGTTGACTTAAAAATTTGATTTTCTGTCTAAAATTTCTCATCGAGAGGTTGATAAATTCTCAAGTGATTTGATGTGAATCCATAGAGGTATATAATAAATTTTAAGGAAAGATAATATATATTAGTCTAAGAACAAACGGCACAATCGAGTTGTAATCAATTCATAATCGAATTATTATTTCTACAAAAATAAAAGAATAGAATTTGCAATGAAATAAAAGGAAATGAATTGATAGACTGTTATGGCTACCCTAAACCCTAAATCGGGTTACATCGATTCAACTAGGAGTGGCAATCTGATCTAAGCATGGCACGAAAAAACTGTATTTGGATCTCAAAAAATAGACTCGAAAATTGTCTGGCCCAGCCCGATTTTTAAAATTAATATCCAAATTTCAATATATATACATATTATTTTTTTAAATAAAGATAAAAATTAAAATATGACTTGATTGTAAAGTTCTTGATCGTGCTGGTCCATCACGATTTGAAATCGGATCGGCCGGCCGGATTACCACCCTCAAATCCAACCCGATTGGCCTGAAGTATTTGGAATTAGCCTACTTTCACTGATGAAATTTTGTGTCATAATTTATTTGGATTGATTAGATATTGAATTTAAAAGTAGCAACTTTTTAATTGAAATAGTGTTTGTATGATATAAATAAGTAGTATTTGATATGATATTTTAAATGCAATTTTAAATTTTTTACAATATATTAAATAAAAATAATTTTTTTAAAAAAAATTAATAAATAACCGATGAGATCAACTCATAATAATTCTTCTTGCAATAAATTATATATATATATATTGTAGACAAAAAAATTTGTGTTATATTTTTATAAACACAAACTCGTATAAATTATATGTAATTTAAACATATGCGGGTCCTATTCTCTATTTGGATCATTTGATTCTCTCTCCGGGTCGATCTATTTTTCCAATTTGGATTTGGGCAGCTTCTTTGATCCGAAGAAGTTTGGTCTTCAGTTTGATTTTGCTGGATTTTGGAGGGTTTTGGTCTCCGTGCGGGCGATTTGATCGTCGGCTTTGGATTTGATGTCTTTTCTAGACGATCCGAGGCTTTGATCTTTGATTTGGCTTTGCCGCCTTTTGGAGATTTGGTCTCCGCGTTGGCGATTTGATCATCGTCTTTGGATTTGTTGTATTCTTTGGACGATCCGCGACTTTGACATTTGTTTTAGCTTTGCCGCTTTTGGAGGACTTTGGTCTCCGTATTGGCGATTTGATCATCGTATTTGGATTTGTTGTCTTCTTTGGACGATTTGCAGTTTTGATCTTTGATTTGTCTTTGCCGCTTTTGGAGGGTTTTGGTCTCCGTGCGGGTTATTTGATCCTAAGCTTTGGATTTGATGTCCTCTTTAAACGATCCGCATCTTTGATCTTTGAGAAGGTGGATTTGGTGCTCTATAACGCTTTTGGCGGCGTGTCCCTTTGATTTTTGGATCGAAGAGGATCGAGTTGTTGCTTTGGTGAAGAATGCAATGAACACCTCGAAGCTTTGGGATGAACTTTGAAGACCTTCCCTTGGCTTTGACGAATTCTTCAACGGCTTTGAGAGCTTTGATCCTTGAAGAGGTGGATTTAATGCTCCATAACGCTTTTGGCGGCGTGTCCCTTTAAATTTTGGATCGAAGAGGGCCTGGTTTGCGCCTTTTATGAAGAACGCGACGAACATCTTGAAGCTTTGAGAGCGGCTTTGGAGGCTCTTCCTTGGCTTTGATGAATTCCTCGATGGCTTTGAGAGCTTTGATCCTTCCTCCGGCTCGGACATACGACGAAGAACGTCAATTTCATCGATTCGCCAACCAATATTGGATCATTTGTCCAAATCGGTGACTTTTCGACGAAGAACGCTTCGAAGGACACGAAGAACAATGAAGAACATTGCAGAGAGTCTAGAGAGAGACTTACCCTTGCGCGAGTCTTCAAATGAACTTCGGTGTGTAATAAATTGGCCAAGGCTCCTATTTATAGGGGAGGGTGGCCTTGGCTTCCTTTTCGGATGGTGCCACGTGGATGGAAAGATTTTATAATCTTTCCTTTTACATCAGATGTTGTTTTCCATTATTAACGGATTTGATTGTGCACCTTCCTTTCTCGCCAAAATCTTTATATTATTGTCTTTTTTGGAAGATATTAATTTATATACTTATTTTATTGACAAGATCTTTATATCATTGCCTTTTTTGGAAGATATTAATTTATATACTTCCTTTATTGACAAGATTAATTTATTTTGCTGCCAAATTTATTATGGCTCTATTTATGCACGTAATATTTGTACGATATCTTCCATTTTAATCATATTTTTGCATTAATGGTTGATATTTATTGTACAAAAATTAACATATGTGTATAATTAAATACTATATATTTATATTATTGGAATTTTATTTTCTTCCAAAATACATGATATTTAATTTAATTTAAACATTTAATTTTTAATGTCTATATATATATATATACTATAAATGCGTTTCGTATTTTTCTTGGAAAGGGACTTCTTATATTTGTAGTGAATTATTATCCTTGTAGTGGATTTTTCTTTTTTTCTTATTTTTTTTTGGAATGTAATAATAAAGGGACTCTTAAATTTATTTATTTTTTGGAATATAATAATAAAGGGACTTGTAATGAATTTCTTTGGAATTTGTGATTTGTGGCTATAAATCGAGTATTTTATTTGTGTTGCACTGATGGTGAATATATATATATGTTAAATAAATTATATTAAATAAATATTGTATCATAAATTTCAATAGTTTTCTAGTGATCTCACTAACATTTATCACCCTAAGAGAAAAATAAAAACAATTTATTGTAACTAAAAATAAATTTAGATGATGAAAAAAGTAGTTATTAATAATTAACTAATAAGCCCATTTTAAAACTTAAAAAAAAAAAAAAAAAAAAACTTCCGAGTCTCTGATTTTGTCTTCTACATATGCACAATTCATCTAGTGTGATTTATTTTGCTTGTCTAATTTGCATATTAGTGAGTTCGATCGAAAATTTACTCAAGACAAGTACAAAAAAATAACATTTGGGGATTTTGGGAAAAAAAAAAAAAAAAAATTGGTGGAGTTCAAACTAATCAAGCCCCTCTTTCTCTCTCTCATGCTAGTTGAAACATTATCATTATTCTTGAAATATAAATAGTTTTGTCTTGTATATACTTTGAAATATTACTTTTATTTTATAATTCTATAGATTATATTTATTGATATTGCCAACAAATATATGTATTTTTCTTTTTTTTTCCAAGTCAGATATGGACAAAGTAATTTTTAATTTATTATTTTTAATATTTTATAAAAAAAATGTGTTTGTATTAAAAAATTAATATTTTTTATTTATTTATTGAAAATGCTAGAAGGATAGAAATATGTATATATACATACAAATTTGTCGTTTATGATTAATTTTCACCCCAATTAATGGTTCTAATTAATCAAGGCCTCAAAATTGAATATCAATAAAAATGAGTTGTGTAATCCTTTGCTCTCATTGCACACCACTAAAATGACCCAATTTATCCTCTTTAAAAAAGTTGTCTTTTTATTGCAAAACGATTCGAGAAGGTGCGAGGGCTTCTTATCAAACCACGACAATATAATGCAATAGGGACAAATATTAAATATAATTATTATTAAATGATCGTTTTATTTAAAAGTTTAAACTTGATAGAATACACAATGTGAATTTACGTCACCATAGGATGACGAATGGAGGGTGATGAAACTCGAACATGGGAGAGCCTCACTTTGATATCATATTAAATTACTGTATTACACAAAAGTTTTCCTACTTTGATATCATATTAAATTTTAAGTGAGATGATCTTTAGGAGATATGATCATTTAAGATAATATCAGAGCCAGAATGCCCTGTATTTGAGTCTCATTCCCCGTCATTCATCATTGTCCACGTGAAAAAAGTCGCTCATACAATTAATTATAGGTGGCGGCTACAGTGCTGAATTTTAACACACAGCAATACACGGTGTACTGTCAGACAACACACGGTGTTACTACCGACAATACACAATTTGCATTCATATAATAGAAATACAATACATGAACTAACATCACATGCTATAGTCTTATACAACACAATCAATACTTGATTTCAGCACATCACATACTGTTATACAACACACTTATAATTATGAACCAACAACACATGAACCGACAGTGCATGCTATAATCTTACACAACACAAATAGTAATTGATTTCAGCACACCAATACACTATAATTATGAAGCAACATCACATGTCATTGTTATACACAACATGTGTCTTGTGTATAACAAAACTTTGTGTTGTTTCTATATATTACAGGTGCTCCACGGTGCTGATTTTTTCAATTCAGCACGCTACCCGTTTCCTTAATTGTGATTACAAGATTAGGTATAAATCTTACTAATGTCTTCTTGGTCGAGTCTGTCACGCAAAGATTTTTCCAATATAAGTTGATTTACATCGAAAAGTATCGTTTGCGGGTCCCACATTAAAAATAAATAAATAAAGATAGTTCTCAACCAGTCCAAAGTTATCAAATATTTATGTGGTGGCCATTATTAGTTAAAGATATTGCATTTCCAAATTACACGAACCATTCGTGTCTATATATATATATATAACCATACTTCAGTTCATCCTCAAACAAAGACTCAGATTCAGACAACAAATTAATCAAGTGAAAGTTATTGCATATATATATCGATTATCGATTATCATGAAGACAATGATCCAAGTGATGGTGGCCATAGTTGGGCTGTTCTGGAGGCTGTTTATGGAGATGGTGGTGTTCGTCGGCACGCCGTTGCGGAGATTATGGGGTCGAACGCAGCTGATGTGTATGAAATTGGAGAGCAATGGAGTTGATATTAACTATGTAGTTCCAGACAGGATTTCTCAGTCTTATTACAGTTAGAACTGAATAAAGCAACCTATGCATACACCATATATATATATGTATGTATGTATGTATGTATAGGTTGTTTGTTGTTGGTCAGTGTTTAATTGAGAAGCTTTATATATATATAGAACTTGTGTTAACATGAAGTGGGGATGGGGTGGGGTTGGGAAGACCTTGACCCTCCTCTCTCTTTGTCTTTCTCTCTCTCTCTTTATATATTTATATATATATATATATATCTTGTTATATATTTCTAAGAGATGTAAGAGCTTTGTTTTGTTTTTGTTTTGCTTTTGTTTTAAAACTGGCTTTTAATTTTAAAAGTAGTTTGATATACTCCTTCAGCTGCTGAGATTGAAAGTATTATTTTTATGATTCAGGGTTTAAGGTCAAAATACTTCTAATTTTTATATTTCTTCCGTCACATGATAAAGTATTCAGTTTTTCATTTTAATCTATCCCATAATAAAATATTCATTTTTTTTTTTTAGGAATTGTACTGTCTACTTAACAATACAAATACCCTTACAACTTACAATATATTACACATACTAATAAGATTATTTTAGTCATTTCTATTTTATTCCTACTATATCTCAATAATACTAATATTTCTAAAACTACGTGCAAAAAATAAATAAATATCTAGTCATGAGACGGAGGGAGTATATATTATAAATATACTATTACTAGGGATGTCAACGGACGGGTTTTGCAGGCTCAGGATCTGAGCCGCTAAAAAATATTATAACTCAAGACCCGCCCCGCCTAGCTTCAACCTGGTCCCAGGACCCGTCCCACCCCGAACCCCCGACAAACCCGCTTCTTTTTGTAAGAAAATAATAAAATAAAATTTTTTTAAAAACAATTTAATACTAAAAAAAATATGCGTTAAAGTACAAAAAAATTATAGTTTGAAAAATAAGAACAATCAAATGTTGACGATAGTCCGTAGTGTTGGCGGTCAGCAGTTGTCCCGATTATAAAGAGGATTGTAGGAGAAACAAACGCGAAAATAAATTTGATTTAGAATTAAAGTTCTATTTTATATTTAAATTTTTTTGAATAAATAAATAATATAATTTATACGGTATAAAAATATAAATAATTTATAATAATTATTAAAATATCTGAATTCGGATTCGGGTCCGGAGTGGGGCGAATTTATTGTAAAATCCGTAACTCGCCCCGAACCTGACCGGATATAAGACTCAAAATTCACAACCCGCCCCGAACTAAACTTTTTAGACCCGAATCCACCCCATTTGAGATCCCTAACTATTGCGCATATCATAAAGTACAAAATACAAATATGTCAAATTCATCTTATATAATAAAATACTAATGTTCTCTAATTTACTACAAAATTCAAATTTATATTTATCCGATGGAGGAAGTATATGATATTTTATGATAGTAAATAATTTATTTCATAATAAATTAATCTTGAGTTAATTTAGTGAAAATGTTAAAAAATAGTGCAAAGTGATCAAAGTGATCTGAGTGTGTTATACTTCTACCTATTCAATTTACAATTAATATACTCCATCGTCTCGGCTAACTTATCTTATTTAGACTAGGTACGGTGTTTTACGTATTGTGTAATTAGTGAGTAATTAAGAAGTATATTAGTAAAAATAATTATGATTTAATAAAAATAATTTTAGATTAATATAAAGATGACTAAATAGTTTAATTAAAATAAAAAATTATAACTATAAATTTTAAAATATGATTAAAGTGTATAATTGTATTTCAGGAAAAAAAAATGACAAATTATATTAGACCGATGGAAATAGAAATAATGAACAAATTAAGTGGGACGAAGAGAGTAATATTCTAGATCTCTCTATTAAGTTTTGTCGTATATTAAGGTTTTTAACACTGCTTCTACGGCATAAGAGAAGCCATTGAAAATCAGTCTAATATACTACCTCCGTCTCTTAACAATATATCCATTTTTTCATTTTGGTTCGTCTCATAACAAAGTATTCATTTTATTTTTTTTAGTAATTATACTATCTACCTAACATTACAAATACCCTTTCAATTTACAATATATTACACAAATGTCATTACCTTCGTATCATACAATACTAATAGGGTTAATTTAGTATTTTTAAGGATAATTTAGTATTTTTAAGGAATATATGCTTTTAAAGAAATATAAATTATGTCTCGTAAGGAATGGTTTGGTGGCGTGGGGGCGTGGGGATAGATTCGTAACCGTGAAGTCATCGGGACTATATCCATCTCAAATTGGCACGGAAAAATATACTTCGTACCACACTATTTTTCAATCAATGACCTAGGGTTTCGAACCAGTGACCTTATAGTTATTAAAGACTTACACGATCTGTCATGCCAACTTAGCTATCTACTCTAAAGTAATACTTTTTGTTTGTTATTATATTTTAACTACATAAATATTATTGATTATAAATTTCTCTTTTAAAAATATATACATATTTATTTAATATATCATCATGAATTTTTAACAAAAAATTGAATAGCTACGAACGATATTGAATAAAGATATTGAAGATGATTTTATTATTTTGTTATTACTTTGAATAGCTACGAACAATAATAAGAAAAAATTATAGTTACTTGTGTTGTGACATTTGATTTTAAAAAGTCACGAAAATTATATTATAACAATATATGTAATAATTTAAAATGTTGAAAATATTTTGGTTATTTTTTCCGCAACTTAAAATAGTCGAGAAAAAATTTTGTGACAATTTTTTTGTGACGAAATAATCAAAAGACACGGAATAGAAATATCTTGGACATTTTCGTTACATAAGCCATTACTTTAAATAGTCACAGAAAATTGTTTGTAGCTTTTTCTGCAAACGGAATAGTCAAAGTAAAAAGTTGTGACATAAATTTGTCACGAAATTACTTTCCGTGACTTTTAATTGTCACGGATTAAAATTTGCGACAAATTTCCGCAATTATCAACTTTTTTTCTAGTAGTGATATTGTCTTTACTATTTTATAGAATCTACACAAATTTATTTATTTCTACACAAAGGTAATAAATATTAAAAAATGTATCTCTTCTGAAAGGTAATAAGAAAGATAACTAGTTTTATAGTAAGCCGGACGGAGAGAGTATTACTTTTAATTTATATATTATATTTGAATTAAAATTTAAAATTTTAATTAAGATACCAAATTTAAATTTGATTGTATAATGTTTTTAATTATACTAAAATTATTAAATATAATTTAAAAAATTTTGAAATAAATTGTAAAATACAAATAATTTAATTTTAAATTTTTATTTTTAATTTGATATATTATCTTTAAATTAAAATTTTAAAAAAATAATTTTTTTAATTTAATTTAAAATCTTTAAACATAATTAATAAAATTTAAAAATAAATTAAAATTTGTATAAAACACTTTCATTCAAATAATTTCCTTTTACAAAAAGCTAATTGGTCCAAATACAAAACTAACTGGTTCGTTTTTTGTTTTGTAATTATATTTTGTTTTTGGCTTTTGTTCTAATATTTTATACTCTTTTTATTCCATAACAAACTATTTATTTTACCATTTTAGTTTGTCTTATAATAAACTATCATTTTGTTTAGTAACCGTACATCTGTCTATCATTACAAATACTCTTACAACTTACAATATATTACACAAATATCATTACATTTATATCGTATAATACTAATAAGGTTATTTTAGTAATTTCTATTTTATTCTTACTAAATTTTAATATAATATTAATATTTTTAAAATTTCGTGTAAAAAATAAGCGGATACCTAATTATAGGACGGATGAAGTATAATCATCCTAAACCGATCCAATTGACAGCCTATCCACACCCCCCATTCTTCACACGTTTATCACTTTCATAATAAATATTAATAACAAGAATATTAAAAAACAAAAAAAACTTATCTACTACTCGATTTTATATTGTTGTGTTGAAGAGGTCATTGCTTGCGTCACAACATAAAACATAATTATAGTAGTAATTATTAGAGCGGACAAAATTAAAAATATTATCCAAATTTATTCAAATCGGATATCGCTATTTGGCCCTGCCCGATTTAATAACTTAAATATATTTTAAAATAAATAACTTTATAAATATGTTAACAAATAAATATATACATCCGTCCCGCTATATAAGGTTTTATTTACTTTTTGCGATATTTCAATATTAATTATTATATAGAAATTTAGTAGAAAATATAGGAGAATGATAAAAATACTTTATTTATGAAAAAAAAATTATACAAATATAAAAATATTTTTAATGTTAAATACAATGACACAAAAGTAAATCAAATCTTAGAACCGAGCATAATAAAAATAAAACCTGATCCATCATCAAGTAAGACATCATTAAACCCTCCCTCTTGCATTGATCTCTCTCTCTCTCTCTATATATATATATATATATATCAAGAAAGATTCAATTCATTGATGACAAATTAATCAGTTTCAAGAAAATCAGCTACAGATTCAATGACAGGGGGAGTAATCCAACAGAAGAACACTGACAGGAAGCAAATGCTGGAAGCTTTCGACGAAACAAAAGCTGGAGTCAAAGGCCTGCTCGATTCGGGACTAGACAAGATCCCCAAGATCTTTGTAAGGCCATCTGAGGAGCTGTCTGAAGAGCTGACTTACAAATACCCTAAGATTGAGGTGCCTGTAATAGATCTGTCAGCTGGAAGAATTCAGGTTGTCGAACAAGTCAGAAGTGCATCGGAGAAATGGGGATTTTTTCAGGTGGTGAATCATGGGATTCCCTCAGAGGTGCTCGATCGGGCCATCAATGGCGTCAGGGAATTTAATGAAGGAGATATTGAGGAGAAGAGGAAATATTACAGCAGAGATGATCGAAGAAATGTAAAATTTAGCACTAACTATGATTTGTACCATTCGAAGACTGCAAACTGGAGGGACACTCTCAGGTTTTCGTTTCCAGACCAAATTCGTAGTGAGGAGCTGCCTCTCTCTTGCAGGTATTTATATATATATATATATATATGTGTGTGTATTTTTATTTTATTTTTCGAATGTTACTAATAGCAGAAGACATTGGGGGGCGTAATGTGTTTGTTTTATGGTTTGGATTTAGGTCGATAATAATAAATTTTTGAATTAAAATTATATTTGATAAGATATAAATAGATATTTGAAATATAAACAAGATTTTGGCTTGAGATACTATTAGTGTGTTTCTTCTAAGATTTGGATATAAAGTAAAATCGAAAAAAGCTTGAAGTTAAGATTACAAAGAAAGCGGAGTCTTTGCAAATGCTTCTGTATTGACGACGGGGATGAGCTTAGGTATGTTATTTCACTAGTTTAGATTTTATTTACTTGATTTTCTATTAATATATTATATTTTGAGTTGGTTTTGTCTTTTAGTTATTGGGTTGACTTATTTTATATTTAGTAAGTAGAGTGTATGTAATACTTCCTTCGTCTGTAAACTAATGTCCTACTTTCCTATTTGAAAATTCAAAAAATGATTGTGCTCTTTCTATTTTTATACATAGAATTTACCTTTTTACCCTTACTTTATTTATCTTTTTTATATCTATACATTAAATAAAGGGCTATTTTGTCGATTTACAACAAAAAAACTAATTACCTAAAAAAATTTGTAAATATCACTTACGACATTAGAAAATGGACGAAGGGAATACTATTTAAAGGAAAACTAGGGTTTTAGACTATCATTCTAGAATTTTGGAAATAAAATAGACGTCAGACTATGGGAAAATAGTTGGTACCGTTTGATTGTTCTTGGGCAAACGAAATCAACAACAGTAAAAATTTGAAATAAAATATCATTTGATGTGATTAAAGCATAAACAAGATTTTGGTCGGAGATCCCATTGGTTTGTTTTATAAGGTTTGGAGTTTGAAAATATTAAAAATTTGACTTTGGAATATAAATGTGATATGGATATGTGTTCAACGTGATATGATATTCTGAATGAAATTTTGATCTGCGTGTTATGTCAAATATAAAATAGGTGTTTTACTTGATGGTTTTAGAGGAAAATTCTTTTTAGAATAATGTGAAACCAAAACCAAACTCGTAAATCTTGTATCTTTTCTTTTCAAAATTTCCTTACAATTCTCAAATTCAATGTGTCAAATAATAGGGAAAGTGCAGTAGAATACTCGAATCATATTGCAACTGTGGGAAACAATCTGTTGGAGCTACTATCGGAGGCGCTTGGACTTAAATCCGATCATCTAAATAAACTGGAATGCGCAAAAGGGCGCCGAATGAGTATGCACTACTATCCAGCATGCCCTGAGCCAGAACTAACTCTAGGATCCACAAAGCACACCGATCCTACATTTCTCACAATTCTTCTGCAAAACCATGTCAATGGCCTCCAAGTTTTTCATGAGGATCAATGGATAAATGTCGAACCATATCCGGGGGCTTTGATTGCCAACATTGGCGATCTCCTGCAGGTATTAACTTTAGTCAATTCATTGTAATAACATATACAATATATAATTATTGTTGAAACCGTTGATATCATTAGCATGTGTTATTATATATACATTATATATTATGTTGTGTTAATATGTGATATGCGCTGAGATCAATAGTAACACATAATATTTCATATATTGCATTTGTATTATGCTACAATAAAATGTGTGTTTTTCTGCATATTTATTATGTTTTATCTGTGTCTATACTATGTACTGTCAATAAGGTGTTATTAGCAGCCTTCATGTACATATATATATATATGTGTACCAAAAATAATTTCCGAAATAGGATTCGATCTTCTCATCCTACTTATCACATTTTTGTTCTCCATTTTTCTTCCACAGTTGGTGACGAATGGGAAATTCAGAAGTGTTATGCATAGAGTGGTGGTTAATCGCGAAGAGGCAAGAATTTCAGTAGCGTATTTTTTGTCGGGGCCAATTCAGGAGAATAAGGGTTACGGCCCTATTGATGAGCTGATATCGGAAGAGAATCCTGCTATATACCGAGAGGTGCATTTGCTCGATTATATTAAAAAGTTTTTGAGTGTTGAACTCGACGAGAATCTTGGCCTTGATTGTTGTAAAATATGAAGAGACTTTGGCCAAGATAACAGTTTCTTGAGGGGATGTGTTTTGGTTTTACTTGGACTTAGTAATGTTCAAATTTCGAAAGGGTTGTGTTGTATTGATGACTCTGTTTGGATGGATTCGGAATGGGAATGATTTTATAGCTACGGAAATAAGACATCATTTGACTACAAAAAACTTAGAACTTGTTTGAGATTTGTTAGTGAACATGTAAAACTTGACATGCCCAAATACATGGATTCACCCAAGGATTTTAAACCTGATCTCAAAAACCAATGAAGAATATAATTCGATTTAAGATAGTAGATAATATACAAAAATTTACGTTCGCTGAAAAATATAAGACAATTTTACTATATTGATGAAAAAAATTCAAACAAATAGAGGTAAATAGTTTGTAACTATTGTTATCACATTCAACATAATTGTAATAACAAAGAAAAGAAGATTATGTTTGGTATAGTGAATAGAATTATCAAATTATGGAGAAAGAAAATGATTATTGATTTTTTTTATAAAATAGAAAATTCAGTTGAGAAATATAACAGAATAAACGATCAAGAGAAAATAGTGTATTGAATTTAAGTGATGTGGGAAAAAAAATATTATGAATCTGAGTAAAAATATATGATAAATTAAGAGATAGTTTCAATGAAGTGGGATTTGTATATAAATATTATTGACGGAAGGTCTGCAGTCGGATAGGTAAGTCGGTTGGTCCTCGGTCGGATCGGCAGGTCGGAAGGTCTGCAGTCGGATAGGTAGGTCGGTTGGTCCTTGGTCGGATAGACAGGTCGAAAGGTCTGCGGTCGGATAGGCAGGTCGGTAGGTCCTCGGTCGGATAGGCAAGTCGGAAGGTCTACGGTCGGATAGTCAGGTTGGTAGGTTCTCAGTCGGATAGGCAGGTCGAAAGGTCTGCGGTCGGATAGGCAGGTCGGAAGGTCTGCGGTCGGATAGTCAGGTCGGTTGGTTAGCGGGTCGGATGGTCCATAGGTCGGAAGGTCTGCGGTCGGATAGTCAGGTCGGTTGGTTAGCGGGTCTAATGGTCCATAGGTCAGAAAGTCTGCAAGTCGGCTGCTACGGAGGTCGGGCGAAGTAAAGTCTGGTAATTGATTGCCCGCTTAAGTGAACAGTAATTTGGTCGCTTGGTGGGGGCGGCCAAGGAGTCTTTTGGTCAAGCGACCAGTTAGTCGCTGGATTAGTCGGTTGGGTTATGCAGTTGGCGAGACGGTCGTTGTAACTGACCAGGCGACGTTTCAAAATGTTTCTTTTGGGCAGTTGACGGCGGTTGCTGTAACCGACCAGGTGACGGTTCCAAGCGTTTTCTTCAAAGAATATTTAAGGATTTGGATTTTTCTGGAGAAGGCATCTTCAATCAACTTCAACAAAGCAAAGTCAGATTCGGGGATCACCACTTTAAATTTCCAGTATTTTAATTTCCAGTTAATTTTCTTATGTACCGTACACACTGTTTAGAGATTCCTAATCTCATGCACTAATTAATCAAATTTGAAGATATTTCCATATCTTTGAATTTTACTTTTTGTTTGTTGAAAAAATACATCAACAAACTTGAAATTTGATATTTCTCCATTTTCAATAACAAATTTGCACTCAAACGATAAAAGAGTCTAAGAATTGTTGGCAATTTTGCAAATAAACGGTTGGAGATTGCTAAATATCAATGGCCTCCGAGTGTTTCATGAAGATCAATGGATAAATGTCGAACCATATCCGGGGGTTTTGATTGCTAACATTGGCGATTTTCTACGGGTATTAACTTCAGTCAGTACATTGTAATGATATATACAATACATAGTTATTGTTGAAACTGTGTATATCATTAGCGTGTATTATTAGTTATACATTATATATTATTGTTGATGTATTTTTCAACAAACAAAAAGTAAAATTCAAATATATGGAAATATCCTTAAATTTGATTAATTAGTGCTTGAGATTAGAAATCTCTAAACACTGTACGGTACATAAGAAAAATTAACTGGAAATTAAAATACTGGAAATTTAAAGTGATGATCCCCGAATCTGACTTTGCTTTGTTGAAGTTGATTGAAGATGGTTTCTCCAGAAAATCTAAATCCTTAAATATTCCTTGAGAAACGGTACTGGAAACTGTCGCCCGAACGGTTACAACGCCTCTTTTTCAACCGTCTGCTAACCCTTCTCCTGCTGACACGTGCCCTCAACCGACCGAAATGTCATTCTCGCTCACTAGCAAAAGTATCCGACTCTCTGGACTGACCGCAGACCTTCCACCCTTTTGGCCGGATTGCAAACCTCCCGACTTGCAGACCATCAGACCTTTTGGTCCAGCCGCATACCTCCCTACTGACAGACCATCCGACTTGTTTTAGTCCAGCCGCATACCTCCCGACTGACAGACCATCCGACTTGTTTGGTCCAGCCGCATACCTCCCGACTGACAGACCAACCGACCTGCAGACTTTCCGACCTGCGAACCACCCGACCTACGAACCTTCCGTCTTGCGGAGTTTTCGACCTGTGGACCTTCCGACCTGCGGACCTTCCGACCTGCGGAGTTTCCGACCTGTGGACCTTCCGACATGCGGACCTTCCGACCTGCAGACCTTCCGTCTTGCGGAGTTTCCGACCTGTGGACCTTCCGACCTGCGGACCTTCCGACCTACGGACCTTCCGTCTTGCGGAGTTTCCGGCCTGTGGATCTTTCGACCTGCGGACCTTCCGTTTTGCGGACTTTCCGATCTGCGGACCTTAGAAACATCTCTATTTCATCCAATTTTCTCACACTACTCCTCGATCAATCCAACCAACCCAATCATTGGCCCATGTTCTCCTTGTAACTTGGGCTTTTTAACCTAATCATAATTTTCATACGTAACAATTATGTTGTGTTAATATGTGATATACATTTGAGTTCAAGAATAACACATAATAATTCATGTATTACATTTGTATTATATTAATATAAATGGTGTATTTTCTACCTATTTATTATGTGTTATCTTTGTATATATTATGTATTGTCAATAAGGTGCCTTCGTATACATATATATGTATCCAATTTTTTTTTCTAAAATAGGATTCGATGTTTTCATCCTACTTATCACATTCTCGTCCTCCATGTGTCTTCCACCGTTGGTGTCGAATGGAAAATTCAGAAGTGAGCATGTTTGGGATTTGTTAGTGAACATGCAAAACTTTGCATGCCCAAATACATGGATTCGCCCAAGAATTTTAAACTTGATCTCAAGAATCGACGAATAGTGTAATTCAATTTAAGAGAGTACAAAAATTTACGTTTTGAAGAGCCTTGAAAAACAAAAGACAAATTTACTATATTGGAGAAGAAAGTTCAAACAAATAGAGGTTAAATAGCTAGTAACTATTGTCATCAAATTCCACATAACTATAATAATGAAGAAAAAAAAATGTTTGGTATAGATAATAGAATTACAAATTACTGAGAAATAAAATGATTATTGCTTTTTTTATATATAAATTAAAAAATTCCGTTGAATAATGTAATAGAATGATCTGGATCAATCGATCTAAAGAAAACAATGTAATGAATTTAAGTGAAGTGGGTAAAAATGATGAATCTGAGTAAGAAGAGATGATAAATCGAGTAAGAGATAGTTTCAGTGAGTGGGAATTTGCATAGAAATATTATTTGAAGATAATGCAGTTTGTATAGCTCAGTTGAAAAAAATGATATATTAACGGCGATCGAATAAAACACATATCACCGAAGTTATTTCTCAATCACGATCTTAAAAAAAGTGATGAAATTAACGGTAAAAAAATTCGATAAACCGACAACTTTGTATATTCATTGACCAAGACACTACCGACTATAACATGCTACAAATTAATGCAAGAAACTTGAATGAATCGATTAAAAAATATCAAATAAAATCCAAAACAAGATAGGTGTATCAAATATAAAAAATTGTACTTCTTTTCCTACATTTTAAATATTTTCCCCATAAAATTTTTTTCAACTATAATTTTAACACGACACATTATTTATATACAAGAATTCAAGAAAGAGTATTAAAATAGTCACATAGCAATTACGTTGAATATATAAAAGAATACAAGAAAGAGTATTAAAATAATCACATAGCAATTACGTTAACGTACACGTGTCTATATATATATATATATATATAAATTCTTATTCTCTTTCTCTCTATTTTTAGAGGCATACGTATCAGAGAAACCTTTAAAAAGTTTTTCTATATTTTAACATCATCATCTTTTTTTTTTTTCTATCTCAAAAAAAAAATATACATATATATATATATATTTATATTTATATTATTTATTTTTAAAATTAAACTGCAATAAAAATTTGTCAATATTCATAACATTATATACCTAAAAATTATATAATACAAATTTATAAAAAATAATAATAAAAAAATAAATACAAATACAACTATTATAAAAAAAAATATACTCTCTCCGTCCCATATATTTTGGGTTTATTCCCGTAGATACGGAAATTTAGGTAAAGTATAATTAGTAGGTAATTAAGAGGTGTATCAGTAGAAATAATTATTATTTAGTAAACATAATTATAGATTGAGATTAAGATAAGTAAATAGTTTGATTAAGATTTAAAAAATTATAAATTTTAAAATTAAAAATGTAATTAAAATGGATGATCATATTTCCTAACAAGTTATGTTGGACGGACGAAAATAATAAACAGAAACAAATTATGTGGAATAGAGGAAGTATAACAAAAAAAATTCTCTTGAATTGTCTCTAGAGAAATTTAAGAGAAGTTTTGATTTTTTTTTCCTTTTTGCAAAAGTGTTCTTTGCTTTTGTACTTTACATTATATTATATTATTTCAGTCCGTCTTAAAATATATATTTATTTAAAAATTAAAAAATAATAGTATTTTAATTAAAATGAATAATTAAAAAAATATATAGTAGAGATATTTATAAAAAAATGGTGATATTATAATTATTATAAAAAAAAAATGCATACTTTAAAGCATAACAACAAAAATAAAAGAAATGTATACTTTTTAAGACTGAACAAATATACAGTACTATATATTCACTTAATTTGAATTAATTATGTCACTTTATTTAATATGAAAATTAAAAAATAATAATAATTTAATATGAAAATAAGGTAAATAAAAAATAAAATAATAATATTATAAAAAAAATTAAAAAATTGAATGAAACAAGTAAAAAAATAGCTTATATGAATTAATTATTATACACCCACAGCCGTGTGTATATATATATATTCCCTGATATAGTGATATTTTTTTTTATTAAAAAATCGATAAATATTTAATGAAAGAAGTAAAAAAAAAAAAAAAAGAAGCACATATCAATGGGTTATTATACACCCACGACTCATTTTTTTTTTTGTGCGTTTTTTTATTTTAAAAAGTAAGGGTGCGTTTCTTACAGTCAAAATCTCAAATTTTTATTATTTGAATTTTATATTTTTTAAAAAATATATATATATTTTTTTTCTTTTATAAAAATTATATGATATATTATTTTAATATTAAACTAAAAAAAATTTCAAACTCGAAACAAACTCTAAATTTTTATCTTTATTTTTTTAAAAAAAATCTATATGCGATCAAAAGAGCGTACAATTGAACGACGAAAAGATCTATATATACGCTGTGTTGGAAAATCGGTTAATCAATATAATTGCATGTGGGTTGTATGGTGGTTATTAATAGTGTGATTAGGCATATAAATGGCGGTAAACCACGGGTGCGCATGCCACCTATCCGACCAGATAATTACATGCATATATATGATAAATAATTATTTGAAATTTAAAATTCAAATAATATATTTATAACCGAAATTAAATTGATGTTTATGATCGGAATTAAATATGATATTTATTGTCAGAAGTTACCAAAATTATGACCGACAATTACAAACCATTAAAAGCCGACGATTTAGGCTCGAAATTAAATTTCCAATGGTGGAGGTGGCTATAAAAGGCCCCCTCACACCCATTTCAAGAGGCACCAACCAAAGAGAGAATTCTCTTTCTCTCCCTCTTTTTCTCTCTAAGTTTCCGGCAATATTCTCGGCATATTTCCGGTCAATATTCCGATCACTTACACTTGTGCTCAAGCCTTGCGACATAGCTCAAATTCGCTTTATTTTAGTTCGTTGGAGCTCCGAAATATTGGGGTGCCACCTAATTCGGAGACGAACGTCGTTTTATCTTTGGGAACGTTGCTCCACGAACAAGAGGCTCTACCGGGACGTATTCGTTTTTATATCAAGAAGTTCTACCTCGACTCGACGTGATTATCGAATTTATTTCGATAAATTATTATGGATTATCGAATTTATTTCGATAAATAATTTTGATATCAAAATTTATTTTTCGATAATTATTTGATATTCTCACGATATAATAATTTATCCCGACACTGAAGTATAGTGATATTATTGGTATACAACAGAAAACTTATCCCCAAAAACTGATGGAATAGGTCATTGCTTGCGTCACTAACATAAAAGATCTATAAACAAGAAAGATTCAATTACAAATCAGTTTCAAGAAAATCAGACATAAAAAAGATCTGCAGATTCAATGACAGGGGTAACAATCCAACAGAAGAACACTGACAGGAAGCAGATGCTGGAAGCTTTCGACGAAACAAAAACCGGAGTCAAAGGCCTGCTCGATTCGGGACTAGACAAGATCCCAGAGATCTTTGTAAGGCCATCTGAGGAGCTGTCTGAAGAGCTGACTTACAAATACCCTAAGATTGAGGTGCCTGTAATAGATCTGTCAGCTGGAAGAATTCAGGTTGTTGAACAAGTCAGAAGTGCATCGGAGAAATGGGGATTTTTTCAGGTGGTGAATCATGGGATTCCCTCAGAGGTGCTCGATCGGGCCATCAATGGCGTCAGGGAATTTAATGAAGGAGATGTTGAGGAGAAGAGGAAATATTACAGCAGAGATGATCGAAGAAATGTAAAATTTAGCACTAACTATGATTTGTACAGTTCCAAGACTGCAAACTGGAGGGACAGTCTCAGGTTTTCGTTTCCAGACCAAATTCGTAGTGAGGAGTTGCCCCTTTCTTGCAGGTATATATTTATATACATATATATATATATATGTGTGTATTTATGCTTTTTCGAATGTTTCTTTTGGTTATGTATGAGAAAAATTGATTTGGATTAGTTATTAATATAATATTTATTGAGATATTTTGTGAGAAAAAAAACAGAATCCAAATATTAGATTTGAAAAAAAATTGTTAAAGAAACATACAATTTTGAATTAAAGTAATATTTAATGTAATGTAAATAGATATTTGAATTACAAGCAAAATTTTGGCTTGAGACCCCATGAGGTTGTTTCTTTTAAATTTGAACTTAATTTTGGAGGTCAATAATCAGTAAAAATTTAAATTAAAATAATATTTAATACTATATAAATTAGTATTTAAAATATACAAATTTTGACTTTGGCATAGTACTTGATGTGATATAAAAATATGATCGATGTCATCTTTTGAATGAAATTTTAATTTGCGTAATATATCAAATAGAAAATAGGCGTTTTATTTGGGTAAATGTTGTGTCTTTTCTTCTCGAAATTTTTTCTTACGGTTCTCAACTTCAATGTGTCAAATATAATAGGGAAAGCACAGTAGAATACTCGAATCATGTTGCAGTTCTAGGAAACAATCTGTTGGAGCTATTGTCGGAGGCGCTTGGGCTCAAACCCGATCACCTAAATAAACTCGAATGCGCAAAAGGGCGCCGAATGAGCATGCACTATTATCCGGCATGCCCTGAGCCCGAACTAACTTTAGGATCCACAAAGCACACTGATACTGCATTTCTCACAATTCTTCTCCAAAACCATGTCAATGGCCTCCAAGTTTTCTATGAGGATCAATGGATCAAAGTCGAACCATATCCGGGGGCTCTGATTGCTAACATTGGCAATTTCCTGCAGGTATTAACTCCGGTCAGTACATTGTAATAATATATACAATATATAGTTATTGTTGAAATTGTGCATATATTATATATTATATTATGTTAATATATGATATGCGTTCAGATTAGAGCCCGCAAAAACTGACCCGATACGAAATAATTGAGTTTGGGTCAAAGATTTCAACCTGATTATGTATATGGGTTTACACGAACCCGATACGATAATAAACGGGTCGGATTAGGGTTGAGATTCTCAACTTGAATCCGACACGACAACCCGATTATAATATATTTATTATATATATAAAATAATCATAATTTAATAATTTTTTTATTAATTAATTTAAACTAAGTTTAATTTTAAATAATTCAACCTAATTTATGCTCAAACTAATTAAAACTAACATAACACGACAACAAAATAAAAAATTATTTAATTTGAATCAATAAATTAGACTTAATTATGTATACGGGTCAACCCAAACCCGACACGATAATGAACGGGTTAACACGAACCCGACACGATAATAAACGGGTCGGGTTATGGTTGAGTAATTTAACCCGTTTAAAGTATTCAACCCGACACAAATCGACCCATTGCCAACTCTAGTTCAGATCATCAGTAATATATGTTAATATCAATTGTGTGCTTTCTGCCTATGTGTTATGTATATACTGTGTTGTCAATAAGGAGTTAGGACCCTAACAGCCTTCATAAATATATATATATCGAATTTTTTTCCGAAATAGGATTCGATCTTTTCATCCTACTTATCGCATTTGTGTCCTCCATTTTTCTTCCACAGTTGGTGTCGAATGGGAAATTTAGAAGTGTTATGCATAGAGTGGTGGCTAATCGCGAAGGGCCAAGAATTTCGGCAGCGTATTTTTTGTCGGGGCCATATGAGGAAAATAAGGTTTACGGCCCCATTGAAGAGCTGATATCGGAAGAGAGTCCTGCTATATACCGAGAGGTGCATTTGCGTGATTATATTCAAAAGTTTTTGAGTGTTGGACTCGACGAGAATCTTGGCCTTGATTTCTGGAAGATATGAAGAGAGTTTGGCCAAGACATCAGTTTCTTGAGGGGATGTGTTTTGGTTGGGATTATTTACTCGGAATGAGCAATGTTCGAATGTCAAAAAGATTGCGTTGATATGACGAGACTCTTGTTTGATGGATTCGGAAGGAAATGATTTTATACGGATTAGGATGTTGATTAGTCCTAAGTAGCACACAAAATACTACTGGAATTGAAGTAGCATGTATTGAATACTAGTATTACTATCGGGTGTTTGTTAGTTCATACCATGTTGAGATCAATCATGACATATGTTGGTATCGACTCTTACCACGTATTAAGTTGCAATAATTATAGCATGTATTATGTGAATTATGGTGCTAATTAGCCCTGTCAAGATCCTAATCTATAATTATTTTTATTATATCATTATTATTTTTATTAATATATTTTTTAATTACATAAGTATATTTTGTATAAGAACTGTAAAATTTTAATCAATAAAAATTATAAAAATAAATTGTCAAATAAACACACCTACATTTTTTTAAATGTCCATTTCTCGTTCATTCCCTGTACCAAACACGCATAGTACACACATAGTAATCGAAAAAGTGTCTAAGAACTGCTAGTGGTTTTGTAAACTGAGGGGTTTGTTCATCTAGATTTTTTCTACTAATACTTAATCTTTCTTCCAGTTTCTCTTCAAAATATCACATCCAACAATTAATTTACGTATCAAATAATTAATGCATAAGCATTAAGGATCATCTTAACGAATCTCTCTACCTCGGAATGATTCCCCAACAATAGGAGCCATTACTAGGACAACAATAATGGAGAATCGAATGGAGAACCATTTTGTCAACGCCTACGTAATACTACTTTGTGAACTATAGTCATATGCTATCAGTTCTTATTTTATATTTATATTATATTAACATAAATGTAATGATGTATGTTTATTTATTAAATATATTGATTCAGCATACTAATGCAGGCGAGACAAATCCCATTCGACAACATAAATACCAAATATGTACATTGTTAAACTATCAGAAACTTGACTGTAATATCAATATATCATTTGCAAGGATTAAATATGTCACAAGTATGTACTCCCAGTTAAAAATGAAGATGAAAAGTGACTGACATTTATATCTAGCTTCAAACTGGTGTAAAGTGTAAACCTAATTCATGTATTCAAACTTAAATTTCCTTCTGAAATAGAGAAATTCTGGATCTATATATATATATTGGAAAATATCTATAATGACTTTAGTGCAAAAAGAATATTTCATGTCTCCTTCCCTCAACTTGAGCCCTGAGCTCATGCTGGGGAACTGACAAGTAAAGCCCCATTATGGGGAATATAATCAGGAAGAACACGATACCAATACCGATGCATAAATTCAATTTTAGATATAGAAGTAGGTAGAAGGTTTTGCAAATAAAAACTGAATATAATCCTTCAAAACACTTCTAACAAACAAGAATCATAACATTAGATTTGGTCATTTTCTAACAAGTAAATGAGTGATTGTTCTCCTAATTAAAATCCCAAAATAAATTGTTCAAAGGAATAGATTCTATAAATGGGGTTGAGAGAATCAAAAGCTTGGATAATCTACACCTGCTATGGTACATAAAATCAACTATGGTATAATCTACATCCTCTTCGAGTTTGGCAAAAAAAGAAAAAACAAGAATGAAAATACTATGTATGGATGGGTATGAATTGCCTAAACAAGAACAAATTGAATAAAAGTAAAATTGGTTTTTGGCAAATGATGCATTGTTGGGTTTAAATATGTTGGGAAAGGATTCATCCCTTTGTTCAAATTTGAATTTTAGCACCTGTATTTTTTATTACATTCAGTGCCTGACAAGAAATCCAATGTCCCTAGCCAGCAGCTCTATCCCTAAGCTCCCTTGACTCATATTATAACCCGGCACGAATCCCTTTGGTCTTCGAGTAAATTGAAAATATCCAAAATAATTCGATGACACTAAAACCATCAACATTCTTATAATTCCACCACATGTTGAATAATTAATATTATTAACAAATCATTTGTGCATCATAAATTTTGGATATTTTCAAAATATATTCCATACAGCAACAAGGTAGAACATGAATATATTCTATTATTCTTTCCCTCCTATATCTACAGAGTAATGGCCTAGGACTACCTTGTAGAACATTAAAACAAGACGAATTTCCTATAGAAATGAAAGCAGCCACAATCACAGGCATTTGCCAGCAATTTAGGCCTCATATTCTCATGATTCTAGCACAGATAGGCTATACTTTCATGTATATCATAACAGAAGCTTCATTCAACCATGGGATGAATCCTTTTGTGTATATCACTTATCGACATATAGTGGCTACGCTAGTAATGCTACCTTTTGCTTATTTCCTCGAACGGTAATCAACATCTTCTGAATTCATACTGTAAAGCATTCTGCTAACACTAGAAATGATATGTTCATATATGTTCTGTCCAAATGCAGAAAAATTCGACCACGGCTAACAATTGCTCTATTCTTGGAGATCTTTGTTCTTTCGCTTCTAGGGTAAGGCAAAGCTTGCTTGTTATAAATATGATGAACTAATTAATCATTACTGTTGTTTGGTGGATGCAGTGTGAGTTTAACACTAAATATGTACTTCACAAGTTTGAAGTATACGTCTCCTACGCTGTTGGCGTGTATGGTGAACACAATAGCTTCTTTGACATTTATATTAGCAGTGATACTCAGGTAATACGAATGACGATTTAATCTTAAAAGAATTTGTTATCGAAAATTACCTGAGGATTTGTGCACAGATTGGAGATAGTAAATCTTCACAGCCCGCGTGGGATGGCAAAGATCCTCGGAACTTCAATATCCTTGGCCGGTGTCATGACCATGACATTGTATAAGGGACCTGGATTGAAAAATATCGGGCGTGCACTAGTTCATGTTGGTGAAGGAAACAAAGCCTTCCATGAGAACTGGTTGAAGGGCTCCCTTCTTGCAGTCGCAAGCTGCATCACATGGTCGATATGGTACATTATGCAGGTCCTTTTTTTGTTTCTCTACCATTATCTTGAACTTACCTAATTTTGTATTGCTTTGATTAACAGTATTGTGCCATAACATAAAAAATTCCTAAACATAACAGCAAATCTTGCAGGCTTACACCTTGAAACGGTATCCAGCGCAGCTTTCACTGGCTACATGGATGAATTTCATAGGGGCAGCACAATCTGCTGTTTTCACAGTTATTGTACAACACAAACAAGCAGAATGGACAATTGGTTTCAACATCGATCTCTGGTCTACTTTATACGGCGTAAGATCTAACAATAAGGTTAATATGTGTTGTCTAGATTCAGTAAGACATGGACTAATCCAACTACTCTAATGAACAGGGTGTAATCATCTCAGGCATAGTGACTTTCATTCAGCTATGGTGTACAGAAGCAAAGGGACCTGTATTTGTCACCATGTTCAATCCCCTATCAACATTGTTAGTTGCAGTTTTATCATATTTCGTCCTCAATGAAAAGCTATATGTTGGAAGGTACGCCATACACCGAATCTGAAAAGTGCAAATAAATCGAATCCATCAACAACATATATAATTATAATTGGCTTACCCTTCAATTTGCAGCATCATAGGCGGAGTGATTGTAATTGCGGGGCTCTACTTGCTCCTATGGGGAAAAGAACACGATGAAGCACAAACAAAGCAGGAAGAGAATCAAGAACCAAATACCCTAATATTCCCTTCGGCGAACAAAATGACGGAATCTATAAACGTCCACGCTGTTTCTTCTAGCAGGAAATGCCCAACAATGGCGTGATGAGCTCACAAAACTCAAAGTGCAGGCATATAAGCAAGCAAATACAGAGCAGAGAATCCTCACTAAGCAAAAGGCGAGAAGGAATCGACATAAACAATTAAATCTACAGTAGTAGGTAGCTCAAGATCTTGCCTGCAGTGTTCGAGTGATATTCCAAATTGTCTTATGCTAAACAAGGTAAAAGAAACGAAAACATCATCTGAACAATTCAAGCTGATAATTAAATGTATCAGAAGGATGTGTTTGATTTGTAATAAACTTTGTTCTATTTCTTGTAAGTAAATATTAATAAAAAATAATAATTAAATGTTTGATTTGTTAATTTGATGAGATAAATTTAATTGACTGGCTTAAAAGGAAAGTTACAATAAAATTAGACGGAGTCGAATATTGTTATTTTTTTATATATTATTAATAATTATTTATTTATTTTTATTAGTATTGATATTATTTTTACTTTTATAAAATTTAATAATAAATTTATTATTTTATAAAATACTTCCGCCTCCGACCGTGAGGTTAAAAATAAAAAAGTAAAATCAAACCGATGTTCGAAGCGGTCGGTTTACGGTTCGGAGAAGAGAGGAGCCGAAACCGAACCACCGGAAACCGGTTCGATGGCGGTTCCGGTTCAAACCGGAACAGCCTGTTTGAAACCGGAGAACCGGTTCGAAACCGATTGAACAAGTCTAGGCTGAATTAATATTTTCGGCCAACTGACTGCCGAAACAAAAAAAGGGAAGGAATCACATGTCTTTCCGCCCAAGAAATTGAGCTCAAACCGGCGAAGACGAAGACGAAGACGAAAACGAAGGAAAGGTGGTAGGCGATTTGAGGAAATGGATGTGATAAAATCGCAGCAGATATCGTCGAGGCCGATCGAGAAGGTTGTGGTGCATCCACTGGTGTTGCTGAGCATAGTAGACCACTATAATCGGGTGGCGCGTGACACCAGGAAGCGTGTCGTCGGAGTTCTGCTCGGAACTTCCTTCAAAGGCACCGTTGATGTTACCAACAGCTACGCCGGTTGGTTTTCTTCCTTTTATGCGATTTTGATTTGGTTGAAATTTAGTGTAAATTTTAAATTGTGCTCGTTGCATTATTGTATATCCGATTAAATCTTGGTGGAATTTTGGCCTGAGAACTTTGACAAATTTATTAGGGTTAGAACAAAGTATGTTTATTGAAATTGGTAATTTGAGTGCTTATATTCATTTAGATTTGGACATGGAAGCAGCTGTGGGGAGTGACGAATTGACTAGGGTTAGAAAAAAATGTGTTTTTATTGAGATTAGTAGTTTGAGTGCTTATATCTATATAGATTTGGACTTGGAAGCAGCTTTAGGGAGAGAATAAATTGCATGAGACTATTGCGGAAGTAAGCTTGAGTTAATTAAGGTTAGGATCAAAGCTGTATGAAATTTAGTAGGGTTAGAAAAAAGTGTGTTTATTGAAATTAGTAATTTGAGTGTTTATATTTATATAGATTTGGCTTGGAAGCAGCTGTAGGGAGAGTATAAATTGCATGAGACTATTGCTGGAGTAATTGGAGTTCATTAAGGTTAGGATCAAAGCCGTATCAATTCGAAATTTCTTTGTTGTGCCAATTGAAATTTCTTTGTTGTGCCAAAGATCCTTATATTTACCCAATTAGCTTGGTGATTTATAATAGGGCTGTGATTGGATAGACTTGCTTACATTAGCATTTCAAGCTTTTCGGTTAAAACTTTCTTGAGAAAACAGGTTTTGATCTAACAAGTTCTGTTTTATTTTGCTTTAATTGTGTAACAATGCCTCTTAATTGATTCATGCAACTGTCAATGTTCTGCAAACTATGTTTTGCCACTGATTTTCGTTGATGCACTGCTTTTGGTAACCAGTGCCTTTTGAAGAAGATGACAGGGACCCGAGCATATGGTTTCTTGACCATAACTATCATGAATCAATGTTTTCCATGTTTAGAAGAATAAATGGTAAGGAATCATTCAACAGTGTTCTGATTACATAGTTTCATGAGTTTTGTACTAATTAGTATGCCTGTAAAACTTTTCAGCTAAGGAGCATGTTGTAGGTTGGTATAGCACTGGACCAAAATTGAGGGAAAATGACCTAAATATTCATGGACTTTTCAACGAGTAAGTTTTTTTCTTTCTTCTAGAGTGATAGTTTTCTTTATCTTTTACTTTCATTGTTTTCCCCCCTTTTCTGTGCTTGAACATTTTCTCCTTGCGTCGTACTGTTGCAGCTTTTAGGGAGAAATTATTTTAATGTCATCTTAGTGAGGAGTGCTTCTATGATGGCAAATTTTTGTTTCTTATTAAAACTTTTTGAATGTTAACACCATTTTGACGGGTTTAGGGTTTCACATCTACTCTATATAGAGATAATTAGATTGTTGTACTTGTTATGTAGATATGGTGTGTGTATATATCATATTTGCACCACTATTTTGTATATTACATTACTCTCTAATTTGGAGCCGGTTGATGGATTATTCTAACAACTTGAATCTTTTCCATCAATAAGCTCTTATGGTAGTTGCAGTTATTATAAGCTCTTATGCCTTCCTTTTTTCCTTGTTCGTTAGTGCTTCTAATTCGCCTGGAGTTCGCTCCCAGAAATATAGCCATTCCTACCTGTTCACATCAATCCCACGAGCCTCTTATCTATTCTCATTGAACCACGGCAGAGGATCAAATCCAAATAGAAAAACTCACATAGGATTTAGGGATAATCAGGCTTGATCCGATGACTTCGACCATGTCAATGTGAGACTCTACCGCGGAGTTATATTCCCTTATGCCCCATAGAACTGACTAGTCCTAAGTCAAAGTCAAAGGTCTCAACAACACGTTCTTGAACAAGTTAGAGCCGGGTCTTCTTTTCGCACTATTATGGATATGAATATAATGGTCAAAATTGGATTCAGTTTGCCCTTATCGGAAATAAGATTGACTATTCATTCCGAAGGAACTGGAGTTCCACTCGTTCTCCATTTCTATTCAAGAGTTTTTATGTGCTCCTTTGAGACCTTGAAAATGGGACAAATTCATTTTCTTAAGAATACATACAAGATTTGCCACTACTATTTGGCAAATATTTAAACAGATGCAATCCACTTCTTTGACAAAAATACTGTTCTGAAGGGGACACACTGCTTCCAAGTCTGTTGTCGGCTTGAATTGTGTTTATTTTTATTCGAGCATCTATACCGTGAGCATAGCTTATGGTTTCGTCCAATGTTCCTCCTTTTATTGCAGTTATGTTCCGACTCCTGTACTTGTTATCATTGATGTTCAACCAAAGGAGCTTGGAATACCTACTAAAGCTTACTACGCCGTTGAGGAGGTTAAAGAGGTATTACAGAAGTGATCATTATTCATTGCTGATTGACGCTGATATCTGTGATGGGATGAGTATATTTAATATTTTTGGAGGAATTTGCAGAATGCAACTCAGAAAAGCCAGAAAGTTTTTGTGCATGTTCCTTCGGAAATTGCTGCTCATGAAGTTGAAGAAATTGGTATAGCTCGCATCCCTGTCTTGAATCTATTATGCTTCAGTATCAATAAATCATTAAGTGTTTCCAATATTTTATGTTAGATTTAATCCTATATTGTACAAACTCCCCGCTACCATTACTTACACTTATTTTGTAGGTGTCGAACACTTACTCAGAGATGTGAAAGACACAACCATCAGCACCCTTGCAACAGAGGTTTCTTCTTTGAATCTTTATCCTTTTCAGTGTATTGATGTGCGTTTATCTACACGTATGTTTGTTCATGTAGTTACTCACTCTTACTGATGGAAAAATCTTCAGGTTACCGGAAAGCTTACTGCTTTGAAGGGATTGGATGCACGGTTAAAAGAGATCCGAAGTTATCTTGATCTGGTTATTGAGGGGAAGCTTCCCTTGAACCATGAAATTCTCTACCATCTTCAGGTATCACTCTCGGCCCACTAGAATTAGTGACATGAATAACAATTAGTTGGTAAAACATCTTGCCATGAAATGAATAATATATACATATAGCTGACCAAAAATTATACTCCCTCCGTCACGTTCCGTCATAGATGACACACTTTTCTTTTTTGTCACCCTTTTATATTTTTAGTAAATTTATTCTCAGCGTTTTTAAATAATTTATTTTGTGTATGGTATGAGAAACTGTGTTGGTAATATAAAAAATAATATTTTGTGTTGAATGGTTGACTTTTTATGAGTAGATAATATATATTATATTAATGTGTGTATATTTGTATATTATTAACAATATTATGGGAAATTGTTCTAATTGAGAAATGCCAAGTGAAATAAAATAATATTATAATTTATTATTAATAATTTACTAATTTACACTATCTAAAATACTGTATCTCTAACAAAAGGGCTTATTTTTGCCGGGACGGAGAGAATAATAATAATAATAATAATAATAATAATATATAGATAATTAAATTTGCTGATGAATTTTAGCAATGAGTTATGTAGAACCTTCCATATTAGTTAATAAATTTATTTATTTCTTTGGTTGCTCGTATTGAAATATTGTATAACTAATGCAGGATGTGTTCAACCTTCTGCCGAATCTGAATGTGTCTGAATTAGTTAAAGCTTTTGCTGGTAAATTGTTGGTTATCAGTTGTGTTCATTTGATTAGTTTTTCATTCTCTATGGCTAAATTAATATGGTTTGTGGGCTCAGTAAAAACGAATGACATGATGCTGGTTATCTACTTGTCGTCCTTGATCCGGAGTGTGATTGCTCTCCATAATTTGATCAACAACAAGGTATCAATCACCTCATTTCCGTCATTTAGTTTATCCTCAATACAGCATTTTACTCGATTAACCCCAAATCCATCTATATCCATATATATATATATATATATATGTATGTATGTTGGTGTTGTAACATATTTGGTAAAAACACGATACCAGATGCTGAACAAAGAACACGAAAAGGCAGAGGACTCAAAGCCCGTGTCGGTGCCAACTGCTGCCGGAAGTTAAGTTAAAGGAGAGGTATATATTATAAAGGTAAAAATCTTTCACAGTATATTTTTTAACTATGGGTGAATGCAAAATTTTTGATAATGAGCTAGCGAGCACTCTTTCGTAGCGGGATATTTCTTCTTGTAATTTAGCCTGCCTCATTGCAATATGAACTTACCTATGTTGTTTTTTTTTTTTTTTTACTATTACCATTATTATTTCCTTTTCAGATTTCTGTTTTTATTGAGTGCTTATAATGCAGATATTTGCAATCAATCATATTCTTGTTTATGCTTCCTTTTGTCTTGCATTCCTGTTTTTGTTTATGTGGTATTTCTATTTTTTATCTCAATCATTTTGATCTATTTATATGCATGCAGTGTAGTACTGAAAATATCGAATGAAATATCTCAATACAATTTTAAAATTTTTTGAACTATTGTTTGTTTGTCCAATAAAATATTTTTTGAAATAATATTCAATATAATATATTACTACTTTTTATACTCTATCCGTCCCATAACTATGTATCCGATTATTTTTTGTACGGAGTTTTAGAAATATTAGTATTATATTGGCATGTAGTAGGAATAATGTAGAAATAACTAAAATAACCTTTAGGTAGATAGTATTATATTTGTAATGTTAGGTAGATAATACCGTTACTATAAAAAAAAAAAAAAAAAAAAAAAAAATTGATACTTTGTTATAAGACGGACTAAAATGGAGAAATGACTAATTTGTTATGGAACGAAAGGGAGTATTACAGAAATACTTTTTTATAGTTCAAATTAGAAAGTATTTCAAACTAAAATATTAGGGAAAAATCAATACTACTTTCAATATAATAAATTTCATGGGCTATACTTTCATGTATCCTTTTGTTTATATTACTTATCGACTACTCTAGTAATACTTACCATTCGCCTATTTCGACCACGGCTAACAATTGCTCTATTCCTGTATATCTTTATTCTCTCGCCTCAAGGCAAAGTGAATATAAACATCGGCTAGCAGAACCATGTTAAGAATATGAGAAACGATAACAAAAATCAAAATAAACCTAAAAAGTAACCATTTATATGTCGGGAGGGCAACGTTTAGTTGCCTACCTCTCTTAAAATTCTTCCATATACCCAACACCGAAGTCTTTCAAAGACGGCAAACAATAAAAACTAAATCAAGATTACATCAACCAGCAATTAAAATTAAACCATATTCACAGACATCATGGGTGATGATGATACTACACTTGTTAAAATCCACATTAAATCTCCTTCAAGAATCGATGACTTTGTGCATCCATCAAGCAGCCGGAGGCCAGAGCTCGTGATCTTGAGAAGTATCGCCAGCAGTAGACGGAAAATATGGCCACATTGGGACAAATCCGTAGTTAGGAAACATTGGCACCTTGTTAATCTCGGCAGGATATATAGGCGGAGGTGTTGGCATGAAGCCAATCGGAGGAATATTCAAGATTTTCAGCTGTTGCTCAATTCTTTCTTTTTCCGCCTTTAGCGTCTGCTTCTCTTCGCGAAGTTCATTCTTCTCAGCCTGTCATAAAATTAAAAAAAAAAATGTCGATAGGATGGAAAGCGCGATTCGTAAATCTATTTAAGATTATATGTAGTATAGGCACTTAAATTTATTAAAGGTTCATGTCAGTTCCATCATATGACTAGCAAAGATTGACAGCTTAAACCATTGAAAGAAAACAAACTCAATCAGTCTGTAGTAGAGCTCATAGACGAATGAGTAGCTCACCAGCCAAACTCGACTCCATCCCTTAAATAAGTATCCACTTGTGTTTTACAGAGTTTAAGGTATATAAGTATTATATTGATATGTACGAGGAATAAAGTAGAAATGACTAAAATAACCTTATTAGTATTGTGTAATATAAAAGTAATGACATTTATAATATATTGTAAGTTGCAAATAATGTTAGACAGATAGTACAATTACAAAAAAAACAAAACAGATACTTTGTTATGGGACGGATCAAAATGAAAAAAAATGGATAGTTTGTTATGGAACGGATGGACTATATTAAAAAATATATAGAATATGTATAAAATTCAAGCCGAGCTCGAGCTTGAATTTTGAGTCTATCGAACCGAGCTCGAGCCACTAGTTTGATTCGAATTCTTAACGAGCCAAGCCGAGCCTGTACCATTAACAAGTTTGAGTCGAACTCGAACAACTGATACTCGAGCTCGTTCGGCTCGTTTAACAGCTCTAGTCTTTAGGTTCTTTTGATTGGCTGATGGGAAAAGTTATAACGTTGTCATGCAGAAATAAAATCACATGTTTTGCTTGGAATTGAAAAACCAAAAATATTTTTGAATAATTAACAAATAAAACCCACCAGACGGTAAATGTCTGAAAATGTTCATTTCTTGAAACTGAAACAAATTTTAAAGAACACTCTAAATATGTTAGAGATGTAAAATAAGAAAAGATAGAACTTCAAAATGCTTCACATGTTGTGTCTAACCTTTAAATTCTTAATCTCTTCCAAAAGCCTTTCATTCATCTCTGTATACTCTCGAGATTCATTATTCAGCTGGTTTAGCATTTTGATGGCGTCGCCGAGTATAGCCAATTTGTCGGTTTTTACAGGTCTCCCAGGCTCCAATGCAGCAGCTAATTGTGAGAACCTGCATGAAGAACATGAAACGGTAGTAGATCCGGAAGCACCATTGGGAAATGATATCGTTTGATTGTCGTGTGTTAATGACCCACGGTATGTCATATTTATAAACCTCAATCAATAAACTAGAATTTATCAAAAGGCCTTTATCACATTTCGAAAGCATGAGCAACACATTACTGGAATAATCAAATATGCCGATATTTATCCATATAAAAACAAGAGTTGTAAAGAAAATTTCAAATGAAATAGAGATTATTTGCTTACTTCTCATTCAATTTTTCTCTCCTCTTTCTTTCCCGGCATGCTTTTTTGTCTACTCCGCCACAATGTTGTCCCCTATAAAACACAACCAGAACAGAAATGGTGAAATACGAACCATCTTCCCTACAAGTTAGATTTCTAATATAAAGCATTAGCAAAACATTTTTGTCGCTCTTAAAGGTCTTTAATTTCTGGTATTTCAGTATATTCGAACATTTTTTAAAAAGTCAACTGAAATACACATAGAACCTTCAGCCATTAAAGTCAATCTTGATTTATTTACACTTTTTCTGAAACTTTTTAACACATAAAAGTAGCAGCAAATGTGAAGATGATAGATGCATCATTTCATTCCCAATAGTGTAACAAAGTTACAAACTCTTCATGTCCAAACTGGGTTTCGAACAAAATATTGCATGCATCCTAATAAACAAAGGAATTGGGTCGTTTCTTTAAATTAAATATTACGAAAGCACGATACCATAGTGTGTTGAAAGACTGATACGAAGATGTCAGCTTAATTTTGTAATTACCAAGATGTCAGCCTTCTTATCAAACTTAAAACAACAAAGAATGGCCTGTTCTCGAAAATATTTCAGCAGTTACCTCTTTCCTAGACATTCTTTTTCGGGACATTCATGAGATGTAGCTCCACTACGTGAGGCATCCACTGTCAGACAAACACTGCAACAGCACAAGAAAAATAATAAATCTATTTGTTTTGAAAAGATTAGGCTGATAATATATATATCCACGCACATATGCATGTATGTATGAGTAAATAGAATGAACTCCCCCCCTTCGATTCGAAGTTAGGGATCAAATATATTAATAGGAGTATCACTTTCAAGGTAGACACTTTGTCCTCAGTTGTGTAGATCCTAGAAAACTTTTTAATTGCACACCTTAGAACTACTATATCCCATTATCCCCTGCGAACTAATATGGCTCTAAGCCCCTAAAACTTCAAATTGCACCTATTAAAGCAAAAGATTAACAACCATTGATCTTCCAAGGCATCCATAATCTCTCTATTCATATCACACTCATCCATCTTTATATAAACCAATTTTTAACCTTGCAACATATTTCTTGAAGTACACAACCTTATATCCTTTCATATGCTCCAAATAGATCTCAATACATTAAATATGACATCCAACGAAACACGAATTTAAATGATTGGATCAAGAAGATATAAATTCCCCGTCAAGATGGAAGGGCATCTTTCTTTGAGGTATGATTTCATAAACAAAATGCAACACCCAACTTCATTTCTGTAAAGTAGATGCTTCTAGATTGAAATTTGACAGGCCCACACGGATCAACAAGTATTTTTCATTATGTTGTGTCCTCACTTCACGTGCAACTTGAGAAACTTCCCAAGAGACTACCCATATTAAAGCTAATTTTACCCCTGGGTATGATATGGCTCTAATGGTCCAAATTGCACGAATACAAAACATCGGACCATTCATCGTCCGAGGCCTAATACCTAGAATCAAGCCCTTAATCTTTCCCGATCATCAATCAATATTATATGCATCTCTCACACACATTAATGTCTTTATCCTAACAAATTGTTTACCTTGCAACATAATCTGTCCTTGTTAGAAAACCTTGACATTCTTTTAGTTTTATCAAAATAAAGTAAAAAAACTTAATCAAATCTTCCACTATACACTAAATACAAGACCAAATGAAGCAAATTTGAATGATTGGACCTTTGTGGTTGTAAATTCATTGTTACAACAAAGACCATCTTTAGGATGAATTTGGATTAACTCTGCAAGCTTCGTAGCGGCAACTTAGAAAAGAAAAAGCTCTTAGAGGTTTAACATTGTCACACTCCGGCCCGCAAGCCACGCAAAGCGGGACGTGTTGAGATTGTAGACGGCCTGTCCTCATTACTCACGCGCACCCTGGGAGATTTCCCATGGGTCACCCATCCTCAATAAAGAATTTTCAATAAGGCTTTCGAAAATGAATGTATACATTATTAACATGAGTAGTCTATTCAATCCATTTAACTTCTAATCAACTCCGGATGGCCTAATATTGGCTCATCCACACACAGGAGTTGGTCAACCAACGGCTCAACTCTGGGGTATCACAAACATTATATAGAAATTGTATCTCCCTAACCTCACTACAATTGTCATGGACCTTCGGGATCAAAGACGGGCTCTTAGATTGATCAGGAAGGTACATGAGCAATCCTGTCATTCTTTTTATTGAACTCTTCTTAACAATCCCCCACGTGTTACAGAAAAGGCACTCTACTTTGAGCACAATATGTCAATAAATAATTACATTTATAATTGTTGTGAATTTGTTTAAGGATCTTTTTGGATTTATCGAACAAACCTAGCACCAATAGATTCACCCTCACTCTCAATCTCTCTAACTCTCGATCTCTCTCTATGTATTCACCCTCAAAACCGACTCTCGATTTTACCTCTTTTAATTCACCCTAAACCCACTCTTTTATATCTCTCAAAACTAACTCAACCTAACAAACTCACGGTTATAACAAAATTAACAACCTAACAAATTGTGTTTAGAGTAAGGAGGGTTTGGGTTACGATTAAAGGGTTGGGCCGATCCGGTGGGTCAGACTACGGAGTGGGCCAACTAATAGACTTGTCGGGCTAGGTCTCGAACGACCAAAATTCCCAACAATAATAAATAAACAAAGGAAGATGTTTGTAAGAAATTATTATGAATATTCCAAAATATCTGCACTTTTGGTTGTGTTTTCAATCCATAACCAAGTTTGTCACGCTAGAATGACCTCCCCCCACCCCCACCCCAAAACCCCCAACAAAAAAAAAAATATCCTCACACTAGACACATGTTTATTACAGTTTATTTATATACATATTACATCAAAAATCGATATATTATTGTATACCAATATATAGGTATTTAAATTCAAATTTTTATTATTCCCAAAACAAAAACAAAGGAAACCAAATCGAAACCAAACGAATCTGTAGGACAATTTAAAAAAATGAATTTTCTATAGAATGGAACTTAAAGTTGACCATCTGCCCGACATAGCCATTAGAAAATTTTAAATTGTTAAACGAACATCTTCCATTTTTAACAGTTAGCTTCTTTAACAGAAGAATCAACTCAATCCTTCCTAGAGAGGCACCTCAAAGCTAGTTTCAACTTCAAATCCAAATCCAAAACACCAGAAAGACATCCAAACAAGCCTAATCTATATTGTTCAACTGTACTCCCAATTGCCTAATCGAGAAAGCATGATAAAAAAAAATGGAAATTACATACTAAGAACACGCGCTGCATAAATATCGATAAACAACGAGCAACAACGGAAAAGATAAAAATCAGTCGCAACATTCGCATCACTCACTTTTGCGATTGCAACTGAGGATTCCAACGAACATCAAGCGGCGGAGAAATGTGATCCAACAAGCTGCTACAATCGATCAAATCCGTCCAGTAATCATCGTCGATCGAATCAATATTGTACTCATTCATTCTACAGACCGAATTCCCAAATCTAAGCCAAAAACGAACATATAAATCAACGAAAAGAACCCAAAGAAAATGATAGCGAGCAAAATGGTTTCCGATTTGATGACGGAAAAGGAATGATTGAGATTTGATGGCGAAATTTGTATAGTTCGGCGGAGTGGAACAGAGCCACTGAGATTGCGCCACGTGGAGGGCCTGTTGATGTATTGGCTCAGAAAATTTGCAAGTGGGAAATTGGTGTCGCCGCATATGCTGCTACGTAAAAGCGGGTTTGAGTGGCTCACACGACTTTGTTTCGTATAAAGTGCGACTTTAGTGATATTTATTTTTATTCCGTGTGATATTTCTAGCAACCGTTGTCGGTACTTTTTGGGGGTGTGCTTTTGTTTAGGCCGTGTTTGTTTCAGGTAGTCTTCTTTTTCTTTTTCTTTTTTTCTTTTTTTTATTTATGAAATATTAGATTAAAATTTAATTATATATTTAGGGTGTGTTTGTTTGAAAGTTTGGATTTTGAGTTATAATTTAATAGTAAAAAGGTTAAAATTGCACATAGTTCATGTGTGATTTTACAAAATTGCATGAAACCTCATTTCATCAAATTCTTTAGTGGTTTAATTAATTTTGCGTCTAATCCTCGACCATCCTTATTTAACGGTTTTTTATCTACACGCACTCAAATTGCGAATGAATTTTATATTACTAATTTATAAACTCTTAAAATTATAAATATATTCATTTATACTTATATTTAGAAAAAAATTAAAATAAAATAAAATAAAAAAACAATTACTTCGGAGTATATTTACTATTTCTTGAGATTAAATAATAAAAATTATGAATATATTTGTAATTTCACGGATTAGAAATGAAGATTTTAAAAGCTTATTCGCATTTTCGGCGCTTAGAGGTCAAACACAGTTAAATAAGGACAGACGATGAGGTTAGACACAAAGTCTATAAAATTACGAAGGAGTTTGATGCAATTTCAAAGTATAGGGGATTTTACGCAATTTTGTGAAATCACAGGTGAGTTTTGTGTAATTTAGCCTAGTAAAAATTTTGAATTGAAATAGTTGAATGATATGATATAAATAGATATTGATGCTATATTTTGAGTGTGAAATTAATTTTTAACATAATATAAAAAATAAAAAATAAGCGTTTGATATAATTTTGAAATAAAAGATTTGATAAATAGTGAAAATTGGTTAAAATTCTTGAGACGAACCCACCCTTCCTCGTTTCCATAATAATTGATATTTTTTACATTTTTGTCTATCAAATAACAATTGACATTTTTTTTTTATTTTTGGTAAAATTTAAAAAATTAAAATATATTTAACAAATATAAATCAATATAATTAACTACATAATATACTACATTATAGATCATGTAGGACTCGTTCAAAATATATTTATTTCTATTTTTTCTTTTAAAAAAATAAATATTTTTTGTCTACATTTAAAACTCAACATATTTTATAAAATTATTTTATGTTAATTATAAATAAATAAAAGTATTTTTATTTACTTGTATTATATAAAATTTTATTATTTACAAAAGAATATTCATATTGCATATATTTTTTTTTTTATTACGATACAATTTTTAAAATATTTAAATACTGTTATGAGAAAACGAGAAAGAAAGCAAATAAAGAACACATAGGTTTTACGTGGTTTGGTGACGATGTGTCAACCTACGTCCACGGACAGGAACCGGAGCGATTTTATTATACTGATTCAGAGAGTTACAATCATGTCATACAACTAAGAACCATAGCTATCTATTTATAAGCACCCCAAAACACCTTAAACCCTAAGTTTATTTGTTATTATAAGCACCCCAATTGAAACAATCTTTTCGCTTTGGTTGCAGGTCGGGTAGACAGCTAAATCCAAGTCACGTTTCAACAATCTCCACCTTGACTTGGAGTTTCTCCAACCGCCAAAAGTTCGTCAGTATCTCTCAGTCGTCTCCTTCCTGCCAGATGCTCCGATAGGACTTTAACTCCTACGAATATTCACCAAGTTCAAGCAGTGCTCGAATTTCTCTGTCGGTAGCGCCTTTATCAACATATCAGCTGGATTGTGTCTGTAGCTATTTTCTGAATAGAAAACCTGTCTTCCTCCAGAACATCACGGATAAAATTCAACATTACATCAATATGTTTGGTTTTCTCATGATACACTGGATTTTAAGCCAAACTCAAAGCACTCTGACTATCACAGAATAACACCGATTTCTCCACCATCAGACCCAAACTCTGCACCATAATATGTAACTAGATACCCTCTTTAATATCTTCAGTCATTGACATGTATTCCGCCTCAGTCGTCAACAGTGCAATCGTAGGTTGTAAAGTAGACTTCCAACTGACTGCACATCCAAACAGAGTGAAGATAAAGCAAGTTAGTGATCTTCGTTTCACCAAGTCACCCCCGTAATCAGAGTCTGCATAGACAACCAGACCATCACCATAGCCTTTATTATCATATACCAGACAAATATCACATGCTCCTTTCAGATATCACAAGATCCACTTTACAGCTTCCCAGTGAGCTTTACCCGGATTAGTCATAAATCTGCTCACCACACTAACCGCATAAGCGAGATCCAGTCTCGTACATACCATCGCATACATAAGACTTCCAACTGCACTTGAATATGGAACCGTCTTCATGTAGTTAACCTCTTCATGTATAGCCGATATAGTGCTTCTATCAAGTTTAAAGTGTACCGCCAAAGGAGTACTTACCGGTTTGGACTGATCAACAAAGAATGACTGCAAAACTTTCTCAATATACTTTTCTTTAAAAAAAAAAACCCCATAGCCGTCCTGCTTCTCTATCACGCCAGATCTCCATACCCAGTATTTTCTTTTGCCGCACCCAAATCCTTCATCTTAAACTCACCCTTTAGTAGAGCCTTCAAGTAATTAATTACAGTCGTGTTTTTAGCTGCAATTAACATATCATCCACATACAACAGCAGATACACAAGGGAATTAGTATAAACTTTCTTCGAGTAAACACAGTTATCAAACTGATTACGAGTATAACCATTAGACACCATAAAAGAGTCAAATCTATTGTACCATTGCCTCGGAGACTACTACAAGCCATATAGAGATTTCTTTAACAAGCATACCTGGTCCCTTTTAAAACTGTCGAACCTCTCCGGTTAAGACATATAAATCCGTTCTTCTAGATTACCATGAATGAATTTTGTTTTTACATCAAGCTGCTCCAGCTCCAAATCAAAAGCACTCACCATTGCCAAAAGAACCCGGATAGTTTTGTGTTTCACCACATGAGAAAAGACTTCATGGTAATCGATTCATTCCTTCTGTGAGAATCCTTTTGTCACCAATCTCCGCCTTGAATCTAGCAGGTTCAACACCAGGAATTTCCTCCTTTATTTTTAAAGATCCACTTGCATCCCATTGACTTCACCCCTTTTGGTAGTGCAACAAGATCTCAAGTCTATTCTTTTCGAGAGATTGCATCTCTTCATTCATTGCTATAATCCAGTTTTCTGCATTTTTACTCGCCACAACTTCTCTATATGTCTTTGGCTCATTAGAGCCAAGATCATCACCAACCGCCAATGAGTAAGCCACACAATTCATGTCACATGTATTGACATATCCTGCAAACCTAGCTGGTTTCTGAATATTTCTTTTTCCCTTTCTTGTTGCTACGGAATCTTCAACCCTAGTACCAGCGTCATCAGCTTCCTGCTCAACCGGTTCCCCTTGAGGTTTTGACTGATCTGGTTGATCGGATTGATAAATAGTATTATCATGTTGCTCTTCCTCTAACACAACTCCGTCAGGAGTCTCAAACTCCACCCTCTGGTCAACACCACAATCTTTTGTATCTCCAATACTTTCACAACCTCTACTCTGATCAAGCATAGCAGATTCATCAAAAGTTACATCTCTGCTAATAAGAAATCTTCCAGGATTTTTACCTTCTGTACACCACAGTCGATAACCTTTGACTCATGTTACATACCCTAAAAATATGCATTTTACCACCCTCGGCTCTAGCTTACCATCATTTACATGAACGTATGCAGGACAACCAAATATTCTTAGATTAGAGTAATCAGAGGGTTTACCGGACCATACCTCTTGAGGAGTCTTTAAGTCAATTGAAGTTGATGGAGATCAGTTAACTAGATAGTTAGCAATGTTAACTATTTCAGCCCAGAATTGCTTAGATAAGCCAGCAAATATGCGCATACACCTAGCACGCGCCATGAGGGTTTGGTTCATTCGCTCTGCAACCCCATTTTGTTGTAGTGTGTGTCGTACTGTGCGGTGTCTCACTATACCTTCTTTCTTGCAGAAATCATCAAATGGCGCATTGCAGAACTTCAACCTATTATCAATTTTTAGAGTCTTGACCTATTTACCAGTCCGTTTTTCAACTATGATCTTCCACTCCTTGAACTTCCCAAACACCTCTTCTTTAGTCTTCAGAAAGTACAACCAGACTTTTCTTGAATAATCATCTATGAAAGTGACAAAGTAGGAACAACCATCCTACGATTTTACCAGAGAAAGACCCCATAAATCTGAATGAACATACTCTAAAATTTCTTTTGAAGTTTGATGACCGGTACTAAACCTCACCCTGCGTTGCTTCCCTTTTACACAAGCCTCACAGAATTGAATTTTACCTGTCACATCCCTACCAAATAAACCCTGCTTGCTCAACACAAACAACCCTTGTTCACTCACGTGACCCAATCAACAGTGCCACAAATTTGTCATGTTATCATGTTTATCCAAGGACTGGGATACCGCCGCCGTTTTCATCACTAAACTGCCCTGTAGAAAATAAATTTCATGTTGTAGTTTTCCCTTCATCATCACCAGAGCACCTTTCAGGACTTTCACCCACACACCTTCACCATGATATTTTAAACCATTCTTGGCTAAAGTGCCAAAAGAAATCATAATCTTTTTGAGTTCAAGAATATACCAACAGTCAAATTTTCTGACAGTACCGTCATACAATTTTATCTGCACTATCCCGCTTCTTTTTATGGCTAGAACTTCATCATCACCTAACTTTACTGTTCCATTCCACTTCTTAAAAGAAGTGAGTAGATCACAAGAGAATGTCATATGGTGAGAAGCACTGGTATCCATAATCCAGGAATCAACAGTACTAGCACTACACGCTGTTAGAACTTCACCAAAGTCCCCATCATTAAAACTGTCTTGTAGAATCAACTTTTGTATTTCCCT